GCTCAGGTCAGCTAAGAAAAATGCCCAGCGCGCTCAGTATGCGCACTTCCCCGGCAGCAGTTACAGTTTAAAAGGCGTGTGAGGAGGATGCGGTCCCCAGAGAACCTGCGGCGGGAGTCTGAAGAGGGACGGAGAAGAAGGGCAGGTGTCGGAGGGGGCTGGGTTGGTGCACCAACGGGGCCGGAGACGGGGAGACACAGTGTGAAGGGGTCACAGAGTTTCAGGAACCAGGGGAAGGGGGGCCAGAGCCCACAGGTAAATGGGGGAAGAACCCGAGAATGGACAGGGAGGTAGGGGAAGGGGCGGACACAGCTCAGCCTCCACGGAACCGAGGGCAGAGGGCCGCGCTGAGGAGAAGGCGCCCCCTAGTGGCCTCGGAGCGAGCGCCTGGCCGCGCGGCCCCCGAAGCCCCGCCCCCTTCCCGTGCCCAGTCCCGCTCCGGGTTCCCTAGGTCGCGCGGCCACTATAGTTCCGGCTGCGGCGCGCGGGCGGAAGCTTTAAGCGGCCGGACTGCGCCGGCGTCGGGCGCCGGGTGAGTGGAGGAGGCCGAGGGTGCGGGGGTGGCTCCATGGCTTGTAGGACCTGTAGGAGCAGGGGGTCTAGGGGTGGGGAACCGCGCGGGGCCCGCGCCCGGCTTTCCCGCTGCTCGGGCTGCCGCTCCGCGCGGCCTCTGCGGCGCCGGTTCCGAGGCCCTGCCCCCGGCCTCCCCCTTTCCGTGGCTCGGGGTCTCCTCCTCCGCACAAACCCCAGGATCTCGGACCTCGGCTCAGGCCTGGGCGCCCCCTCCCCTCCTAAGAGACTTCTAGGTCTCTCGCGCTTTCTCACGCTCTGAGAGCTAAACTGCCGAGAAGCAATTCTTTATAAACCAGCAGGTTGTCACCTTAAGGGGAGCATTATAAATGTGCGCTGATGGAGGCCTGGCACCGAGGCCGGATTGGCGGCTAGGGTCTGTTATCAGCAGGCTGTGCTTGAGGAGACCCCTGCTTGTCCGGCGCGTTGTGTGCAAGCACTGCTCTTGGGGCAGGTGTGGGGTTGGGGTGGGAACTTGCAGGTGAGACTCACCCACGAGAGGAAGCGGAGCCATCAGGCTCTCACAATGCCGGACTGTGGAGGGCAGGGGTTTTCTCTTTATCAGGCCTAAACTGCTCGAGTGAACCATCCTTCAGAAACAGAGTTCTTTTTTTTTTTTTTTTTTTTAATATATTTTATTGATTTTTTACAGAGAGGAAGGGAGAGGGATAGAGAGCTAGAAACATCAATGAGAGAGAAACAATCGTACAGTCGCCTCCTGCACACACTCCACTGGGAATGTGCCCACAACCAATGTACATGCCCTTGACCAGAATTGAACCTGGGACCTTTCAGTCCGCAGACCGACGCTCTATCCATTGAGCAAAACTGGTTTCGGCCAGAGTTCATTTTTCTATGCCACAACCTGAGTTACTAAACTGGCTTCCCACCACGTGGCCATGGTGAAGGGGGGGTGTTTGCTGGCGGACACAGGTGCCTGGGCCAGGACAAGGGCATCTCTGGAGGTGTGTGCGGAGAGGGCAGGACTGCCTGTGATGGGCACCCCTCCAGTGTTTAGCAGATTTCCTGGGCCAGACGTGCTTTCCTATACTTGATCTAACTCTGTCCTGTTCTGCGAAGAGGCAAGGGTATCACTCCCTGTGATCCCCAACTTCCAATCACATAAAGGCCTCTATATGTGAATGGGACCCCCCAGAGATCTGCAGAAACTCTGGAAGTGGGCAGGGACTTAGGAGTCGCTTGGCTGAGGAGGAGGAAATGTGCTTCTGGTGTCCGAATTCATCAGGTGCTTGGCCAAAGAATTAATGTTACGTATGGTAATTAGGGGTAGTTCGTTAGTCATCAGATATTTGCCAAGTGCTTACTATTATAGGTGCCACTGACTGTGATAGACTCGAGGAGACATTGGTGAGCGAAATCTGAGTTGGTCTCCCTGCCCTTACTGGGTGTATTCTCTGACCCAGTGTAGTTGAACCAACATTGTACAGGGCCCAGCTGAGACCCAGAAAGGAAATTTAAAGAGAATAGTACCAACGAGACACACCTAAGCTGATGCGTTTGACCCTAGAATAAAGTGACCAGACATCCCTCTTTGGGCGGGGCAGGCCCAATTTTTAACAATTTGTCCCGAGTCCAGAGGCGTTTTAAAACAGCCCCGATTTTTTCTCTTTCCAAAACTCAGGACTGTTTTAAAACACCGCGGGACAAATTGTTGAAAATCGGACGTCTCGTCACCTTACACTAGAAGAAACCTCAAGCTCTCAGAATTGGTAACTTGGACTTTGGACAGAGTTTTTAACAAACTTGGTTATCTGGCTCTCCAGCATGGTGGCCAAGAAGCAGCAACTTAGAGGGAGAATGATTACGGAGGATTCCTGAGAAAAAAGTGGAGTGCAAGCTGATTATAAAGAGGCACCAAAACAGAGCACAACAGCCTGGATTTCTTGAACACAAAGCAGTGTTTCCATGTATGTTCTATACCAGTGGTTCCCAATGAGGGGCACATGCCCCATGGGGGGGGGGCACAACTATTTTTAAGGGGGGCAATTCAAGAATGAGTTAACTGATTTTATTTTGCATTTCTTATGGTTCTAGAGGCCTCATATATAGTATATAAATATATATTGCACATATTTATGCATTTCAGTTCTCTGTTATATGTTTTGAAAGTTTATTGGCTATTTTTTCATATCACTTTATTATTACTGGAGATATGCCCGCAACCAAGGTACATGCCCTTGACCGGAATCAAACCCCGGACCTTTCAGTCTGCAGGCCAACACTCTATCCACTGAGCCAAACTGGTTTCGGCTAAATTGGATTCTTTGCTGTAGGGCTCAGCTTCTGTAATAAGGCCTGAACTCATTTTTCTTGAAAGACCATTCCAGAACAGTGTTCTGCATCACTTACTTGGGAGAATGCTATTTTTTTTAAATATATATTTTATTGATTTTGTACAGAGAGGAAGGGAGAGAGATAGAGAGTTAGAAACATCGATGAGAGTCATCGATCAGCTGCCTCTTGCACACCCCCCACTGGTGATATGTCCGCAACCAAGGTACATGCCCTTGACCGGAATTGAACCCGGGACCCTTCAGTCCGCAAAGCCAACGCTCTATCCATTGAGCCAAACCGGTCTCGACAGGAATGCTATTATAAGTTAAACATCAGGGTGGCAATTGGGCAATTGTTGGTGTTTAGAGTGGTTGTGTCAAGTCATCATAAGATGTGAATTATATGTTTAGCACACAATGTTTAAGAGGAATACACAATTTTTTCTATCAAAATGGTTAAATATTTTAGAATTCTAAAGTCTGGAAATGTACTTCATATCTCTAGTTTAGACTTTATTGATATTGGATACATGAGGCATTATTGTATTTGAAGTGTATCTGAGGCCGCTCATTATGTGCTAAAGAGGTTTTTCCTACCTGACTCAGTCCCTGGCCCTCATTTATAACTTTGTTTCCATGAACCAATATATTCTGAGTCCATGCCAGCTTCCCTACCCCTTGCAGCCTATTTATACATTTTAAAATATCACACATTTGCAGTTGGAAATTGTACCCAAAAAAACAGTCTGGCCACTGTTAGGTGTTTTGAAGTAAGTTCCAAAAAAGAAATTAGTGAACATTAAATGTCTAACTTGTTTATGTCCATTCAGATTCTTTTCTAATTGTATATATACAATATGATTGTTATGAAGTTATAATCAGTGTATATATATGATCCTGTGACCTGCTTTTCTCAGTTACTAATACTTTATATAAATATTTCTGATATCTACTTATGTCATTTATTTATATGATGTTTTATTGTGTCATTAGACTGTACTTTGCTTAATAATAGCAAGCTGTGTTCCCAAGAGCAGGTCTGTGTATCTGTGAGCTTTTTTCTTTATTTTTGAGGCCAGACATGTTTTCTTTGTGCTAAATCTCAATCCATAAATTTAAAGAACTCTTTGTTTTCTCCATTTCTTCTAATTTTGACTCATACACAGTTTCATGAAATAATGCCAGCTGTCACACATACTCTTTACCTTTGTTCTTTTCCTTCCCTGTTTACATTCAGTGAATACTACTTTGGCTAATAGTCTTGCTTTTGTCATGCTTAATGATTTCCAGCTTTGTCTATTTTGGATTATGATTTTACTGGCCCTTTCATTTTTAAAAAAATATATATTTTATTGATTTTTTTTTTTTTTTTTTTTTACAGAGAGAAAGGGAAAGGGATAGAGTTAGAAACATGGATGAGAGAGAATCATTGATCAGCTGCCTCCTGCACACCTCTTACTGGGGATGTGTCTGCAACCAAGGTACATGCCCTTGACTGAAATCGAACCTGGGACCTTTGAGTCCGCAGTCCGACACTCTGTCCACTGAACCAAAACGGTTAGGGGTAGCCCTTTCATTTCTATATTTTACATTCATTTTATTTAAAAGATGGGGGTGACACCAAATATCAAGGTAATTAAACATTTGCACTGTACTGTTGTATCTATTAAGATAGTGATGGTGCCCAAAAAGACTGGTTGGTTGTCAAAAAGTGCCGCAGTGTGACAGATAGAAATGTTCTTTAATAAATTAAGTGTTGGAGAGGGGGTGTAGGAGTGTTTATTATATTAAGTTTTATAAAATTTGGAACTGTGAAAGTCCAGAACTACCTGAATTAATGTGTTTGTGTGTGTTTTTAATAGAAATACTTAAGGCCATTCTTGATTTATAGCCATTTAGTTGGTGATTGCTTGCTTGCTTCCCTCCCACTAAATTCTCTAGATTTGCCCTCATCTCAACTTAAATGGAGTTTGCCTCCACTCATTTCTGGAAATTTGGTTAAAAATTGTGGTGGGGGGATAAAAGACCTTGTACTCTCCATGACGTATAACATAACCATATTTATTTTCTACAGCGTTTTTCTATTCATAGCTAACTGTCTGCATTCTGATTGGGAACGTTGGGCTCATTTCCATCATGCCAACAGTGGTGGTGATGGACGTCTCCCTTTCCATGACCCGACCTGTGTCCGTGGAGGGGTCTGAGGAATACCAGCGCAAGCACCTAGCAGCCCACGGTTTGACAATGCTGTTTGAGCACATGGCCACGAATTACAAGCTTGAGTTTACAGCCCTGGTGGTTTTTTCATCACTCTGGGAGCTGATGGTTCCCTTCACAAGAGATTATAACACCCTACAGGTATGAAAAGGAATGAGTTATTGTATGTATCAATTGTTTATCACATTAATAGAGAGCAAAAAGTATTATCATATTGTACTGAATATTTAAAACTTGGAATTATTGAATAAGTCTATGGGTATAATATCTAAGTATAGCTATAAAACAAGGATTCACAACCAGTAGGTTTTATGTCTTTGATAAGGTTATGAGTTAGAGCTGTGAGTTGTTGTCTTATTTTCTTCTCTTAGTTTCCTGGAATTTTCAAGATGCAGTGGCCCATTCCCTAACGTTAATATTCCCTAACAAAGCCTAGCACAGTGCCTTACCCATAGTGAACAGCCAATACATGTTTGTGAAATTAAATTGAATAGTTTCATAATTGCTAGGCAATATCTGTGTAGTTTGATTTTTTAAAGTGTAAGTAATAAAATTTTGTTAAATCATTTTTTATCTGATTTTTTCTAAGTGACTCAAAAGCTTTTTTTTTTTTTTTAATTGCACTGGATTTCTTATAAGTGAGTAAACTAAGGATTTTGGATGTCCAGCAGTTCTGAAAGTTAGAGAACTCTTATGTGGATGGTACAGTTCTGGAGTCAGACTGATTAGTAGATCTAGACTCTGACGCTTCTAGGTATGAGACCTGGGAAAGTTACCTAATTCTGTACCTTAGTTTCCGCATTTTAAAAAATAAGTCAAGCCCTGGCCAGTGTAGGTCAGTTTGTTGGGAGTCATCCCAGTCACAAGGAAGTTGCCAGTTAGATTCCTGATCAAGGGCACATGCCCGGGTTATAGACTTAATCCCCGATGGGGAGCATGCAGGAGGCAGCCTATCGATGTTGCTCTCTCACACTGATGTTTCTCTCTCCCTCTTCTTCTGTCTCTAGAAATAAATTATTCTTTTTTTAAAAATGGATAGGGTGTTATACTGAGTAAATGCATGTAAAGTGCCTAGAGCGATATTTAGGATATAGTTCTCAATAAATGTTGGCATTTTTGTAATGTATTTAAAAGTGCTTCATTTTAATTATTTCCTTCAAGGTCCACTTAGAAAGATATGAACTTGGTGGGCTGTTCACTCTCACCTGAAAAAGAGGACAGAATGAAAGGAACCTCTATTCATTGTCCTTTACAGCTGAGGAAGTCTGATTACTGCTTTTAAAGACCTATGCTTTGGGACTGTAGAAACAATGTCCCCTATGTAATATGCATGCTTTTAACAGTTTATGTTGTTTTCTGATAACAAATTAAAATGAGCAATTTTGTCTTCTATTCAATTAGGAAGCATTAAGTAATATGGATGATTATGATAAAACCTGCTTGGAGTCTGCATTAGTTGGTGTTTGCAACGTTGTTCAGCAAGAATGGGGTGGTGCAATTCCCTGCCAGGTAATTATCAATTATTTTTCATTGCTCTAAGTTAAAAACATTAACCACTGAGGTGCTTTGATTTTCTTTAAGCTCTAAAACGGCATGCAATGTAATTTCTTCAAACTATGCTATATGCTAGTGTTGTCTTTTTAAAAGAAGGCACTAATCGACACTAATATGCTCAGAAAGGAGCACAATTGTGCCTTAAGGAAAGCATCCTCCTAGTAAATTGACTTCTTGAAAACTAGTATTATTTGTGTAAAATACAAAGGGCCCACAGTGGAATTTTAGAACACTCTCTGAAAGGGGTAATTTTAATTTTTTAAGTGATAGAATTGTAAACACTAGTACAATGTCATCTTAACTTTGTTATCTCAATGTAGCATTTACTCAGCCAACTTTTCACCATCTTAACTATCTGTTATCTGAAAAGTGAGGAGTATGAATGTCAGAAAATCAGTTGCCCTTAGAATCTGTAGTAGGTCCATATTAGCATCAAATGAGAGCAGAATAGTAGCTGAAAAAGAGAATTGGAAGTTTTCTGTACACAGGTGCTTTAAGAAGTAGTAGCATATATTAAGAAGAAAAAAAGGTGCTAAGAGGAAAACCATAATACTGTATCTGCAACAAAAGTCAGCAAACTTTTCCTGTATTAGGCTTTGCAGGTGGCTGTGGCAACTCCTCAACTTCACTTTCATAGTGTGAAAGCAGCCAAAGGTAATAAGTAAATAAATGGGCATGCTGTGTTCCAGTAAAACTTCATTTACAAAATCAGGCAGTGGGCCATAGCATATGATTTGTATTTTAGGGTCAAATAAAGGATTCCTCAGGAGTGTCAGTGGTATCACTGTGGGTAAGGGAAAGGAGGGGTTGACCTCTTCTTCCTAAATGCAGGACAAAGAAATACGGGAAATGATGGAACTGGTCTTTGCCTTGATTGCAGAAGTGGTTACATCACTAAAAGCATTTTTCAGAACTGTATACTAAAAAGGGTGAATTTTATTGCGTGTAAATTATATCTCAATATACCCAACTTTTTTTAAAAATTGATGGTCTGTTTGTTTTTTGCTATAAAACCACCCTGTTTTATAAAATATGAACTAATGGGCTAATGAAGACCCTGAGCTATTGCTAAAAGGTTAAATCAAATCACTTTAATGGACCCTTGCTAAAAAATAAAAAAGCTAGTAAATGTCCTTTAATTAATTTTTTTTCAGAAATAAAAATGTTTGTCACCTTATTTCATAAACATTATTTAGTAAATCCATGCATACAGAATATCTAATTTCTAAATAACAATATTCTAAATAAATAAAGTTTTATTGTCAATGTCTTCTGAACTGGAAGCTAGCAGGTAGCACAGTTTCATTTACTATTTCTTCAGTAGTTTTATTTTTTTAATTAAATATATTTGGGTGACATTGGTTAATAAAATTATATAGGTTTCAAGTGTACAATTCTATGATACCTCATCTGTATATTGTGTGCCCTACCACACAAAGTCAAGTCTCCTCCTCCGTATGATAGTCTTCAGTAGTTTTAGAGAAGAAACTCAGAGAATTTGTGAACCAGAAAAACTTCTGCCTTTTAATGTTTTTTCTTCCTTTTCAGAAAGGAGGAATCTGAATTAGAGAGGTATTGTACCCTGAGGGCAAGGGCTGGGCCTGAATCCACTTTAATTTATTTGATGAGTTTTGGTGTAGACAATTCAAAACACTGGACTAGAGGTGGAAGTTATTATTGATTATTTTTATAATCAATTACTGTCAAATATTTATTTAAATGTGGAGTTTTTTTAACCAACCTTTGAGATAGCTGGGCTGTCTTTATTATTTGAGTAAAATCTGTCTCATTTTGACATTCCATGAAATATTTCATTATCATAGAGTATCTAAAGAAACTAGTGACAGAAGTAAATCATTAAATAGCAATTATTGGTACCTAGAAGAGGAAATTACTTTGTAATCAATTGACTATCTTCCCAAAAGATGACATTGCTCCAAGTGACCTCTATGAAGTAAGCATTCTTGGGTTTTAGAAGTAGGTGCCAATCTTGGTACTTCACATGTTTTAAAAATGTGGCTCTCAAAAGAAATTTCAGTCATACTGTTGATATTTGGCTCTGTTGACTAATGAGTTTGCCGACCACTGTTCACATAATTGCTTATATCTTAGCAGAGGTGGATTTTTCAGTATATATGCAATTAGGGAGAAATGAAATTACTAAATGTGGCTGCTTTAAATGAGTATGTTATTTTATATATATAAACCTCTCACTTTTTGCAAACAGGTTGTTCTGGTGACAGATGGCTGTCTTGGCATTGGTAGAGGCTCGCTGCGGCATTCCCTAGCTACACACAATCAACGAAGTGAGAGCAACAGGTTCCCACTACCTTTCCCCTTCCCATCTAAGTTATACATCATGTGTATGGCAAATTTGGAGGAGGTAATGCTTTTTACTAAGTTCTTTCCAGTTTGAGTAGATATAGTTAGGACTCGGTTTATTTTTTAGTATGTATTCCCCCTTAGTATTATATTACAGATACTATCACATTGAACTTCAGTGGTTTCAGCTGAGGCTGGTCAGTTATCTTTGAAAAGAACCTAGAGCCAAAACCGGTTTGGCTCTGCGGACTGAAGGGTCCCGGGTTTGATTCCGGTCAAGGGCATGTACCTTGGTTGCGGGCACATCCCCAGTAGGGGGTGTGCAGGAGCAGCTGGTCGATGTTTCTCTCTCATCGACATTTCTAGCTCTCTATCCCTCTCTCCTCCTCTCTGTAAAAAATCAATAAAATATATTTAAAAAAAAGAAGAAAAAAAAAAAAGAAAAGACCCTAGAACTCAAAATGCTTTTTGAAAGTTGAAAGCACTGCCTCATTTTAGAAAATATAGTTAGAGTTGTTATCCATCCTACTGCCCATCAAGATTCTTCAGATGCTGAAATATTCTTTTAAGTGTTGGATATTTCCATCGTGTAGGAATTATTAAGTCCATGCCACCAGAAATATTGACAGAAGTGTGCTTTAATTTTTTTGGTAAAATAACATTACTCTGATGTATATTTTATTAAACTCTATTTCCTGGTTATACTATTTTCATCAGGAAAGCTATTTTCATCTCAGTTTTTTATCTGTAAAATGTAGATGATAATGGTACTTACCAAAGAGTTAGAAATACTTTGGAGGAAAGATACTATGTCAGTACCAACCATGATCATCTTTGAGAATCTTTGCAAAACTACATCTGAATGAAATAGCTCTACTGGTATCATTTTTTATATGACACTTCCTCTTTGGTAACTTTGAATCAATTTGTTATAGCTGTTTTCCTGTTCACATTGTTAAATTGTTACCAGACAGTGTCTGGTCGCCTCCTCCTCCCGCATTAGGTAAGGTCGCAGGGGAAGGTCTTAACAGAATATTCATTAGCTTCTCAGGTGTGCCCTTCAATTAATTGATTCATCAAAATGAGCATAAAGAGGAGTTAGGGGTTATTTTCTGGTTAATTTCATTTTTTTAAATGTCATCAAGAACGTCATTGAAGAGGGACCTGACCAAGGCCATTCTGTCCCAGGACAGTCTGTAATGTGTAAACTATTTGCTCCTTAGTGTCCTTGGTAAGGAAAGATAAAACCTTGTGATTCATTAGCTAGCTGTAAGTTGCTCAGATTTTTCGGTCTTGCTTAATTATATTGTCTCAGTTTTCCTTATTCTACTTGCCAAGGAATTTCTCTAGCATCTTACTCTTCTGCCTCAAAATAATCTCCATTATATTTGTTGCTTGTGTTACTGTGATGGGTATGACCTGAATGCTGTTAATAATCTGGCATTTTGTGCTACTTTAAACAACTCAGCTGTTTTTGCTTTGTAGCTTCAGAGCACTGACTCCTTGGATTGCCTTGAACGTCTCATAGATTTAAATAATGGCGAAGGGCAGATTTTTACTATTGATGGCCCCCTATGCTTGAAAAATGTTCAGTCTATGTTTGGGTGAGTATGTACTTAGAGCTTTTTTTGCCTTATTATCATTATAATTTGATATGCAGCAATAATATGTATTTTACCACTTCTAATTGTGTCATTTCAATTCCCCCAAGTTTCACATTTTTCAGATAAAATGCTTGGTAGGAGTGATTTTTAAAAGTTTATTCCCTTTTGAATTAAACATGACTAAATCTATATTGACTTCCTTACTCAACAATTTCAAAGATCAACTTGCCTTAGGACTTTTCAGAATTGAAATTGCTTCACCAAAAATGTCAGGTTTTGTTCTGTTTCAAAATAGTCACATCGTTTTGGAGTCAACTCAAAGGGAAAACAGCTTAGCATTTTGAAAAAAATTACCTGAAAAAAATTATAGGTATCATCTCACGCTTCCTATAATAATGAATCATCATATTCTAGAAAACTGATAGATCTGGCATACACGCCTTTCCATGCTGTTCTCAAGTGTGGCCACCTGACGGCAGATGTGCAAGTCTTCCCCAGGCCAGAACCTTTTGTTGTAGATGAGGAAATCGATCCTATCCCTAAAGTCATTAACACAGGTAACTCTTTAAAACGTCCTTCTCAGTTCTCCTTTATCCTGACTTTTTCCTAACTTTTGACTTTTACTCCTCTCTATCCAAGATAGTTGAAAAGAAATGTAAATTCTGATATGAGGATGCTGTCATCATCAGTTATACACTTTGGAAGTGAAGATGCTCTGCCTAAGGTGTAGCAGCATCCTCGTATCAGAATTATAGGAAGACTTCTAATAACCTTCCTATTCATCATATTTGAATTCCATATCTAAATATTGTGTTTATGAAATCTAGTACATAGAAAATAGTGTACTTTTCTATAGAACTAATTAATTCTATGTTGACTTATCCTTTTCAGATTTGGAAATAGTGGGATTTATTGATATAGCTGATATTTCCAGTCCTCCAGTTCTATCCAGACATCTGGTCCTACCTATAGCACTTAACAAAGGTGAGTTCTCTTCCTGTTCAGTGATACATATGAAGTATCTTATTGTCTAAAATTATTCTTAAATGTCAGATAATAGAGCAGCCCATTTTGCAGAATTTTGGAGAAAGGAATAGTTATTGGTTTGGATTGAATTTTTAAAAAATGGAATATTGCCTCTTCTACTAGAAAACTAACTCTGCAGCCTTACACTGTGGAAAGCATATTGACACATATTTATTGTGTATTGTTTTATTAATTTACAGTGGAGGTCCTCTTTAGAAATGAGAATGCTTTGTCCCTAATCCAAGGCTCTGCCTTTCCTGGTAGGATGGTGAGGAAGCCAAAGTGATTCTTAGAGGTTGCCTGATAAATACGGAGTCAAATACAGCTCCATAAGGAGAGAAACTACACCTGTGCTCTGCCATTGATACTCAGTAAATGTAAATACTATAGAATAAAATGGAAGAATCCAGTCCCTGTGAGACTTCATTACTACAAAATAAAGCTCTTCAAGAACTGTAAAGTTATGTCCCCCAAATTAAACATCTCTGGAGAATGTTAGTCTCTAGCACTTTAAACTTCTTTTCTCTGTTCTAGGTTGACCATCCACTTTATGTTCATCAGCTTTCTCCAAGAAGCATATGTAGTCAGTCAGGTTTCTACTTACTGAGTTATGATCACATTCTGTTGATGGTGGTTGTCTCAGTTGTAAAATTGGGTATTCCATAACCCTCAATCACACATGCATAGACAGAATCTTGAAATGTGCCCAAAGATGGCTTCTAGTGATTATTGTTCATAATTTATCTTATTGTTCTTGATACTAATATTAATAACCAAGTTTTCCTTCTAAGGTCCAGAGATGGCGGGAAAGGAGGCAGGGATTCTGCATGTCCGTATAAATTGCCAACAAAGTGGGCAAAATGAAGAGTTTATGTAGGGGAACAGCGGAAAGAAAAGTGTGGGAAGGCAGAATGGGGCCATGTCTTAAGGGCTTTTGAATGTCAAGCTAAACTGAGCAAATTCTTCCTATTGAATTAAAACGTCTTTGATAAGATTGAGTGGGCAGATAGTTTCAAAGGGAAGTTAATTGTAGAAAGATTCATTTGTTAGCAGAGTGCATGAGAGAACCTGGTGTTGGAGAGTCAGATCAAGAAGTTTATGAAGTAACACTCTTCATCTGTGGGGGGCTCCCATCCATGTGCTGCCTGAAGGTTATCAGTTGAGAATGCTCTCACTATCTCTGATTATGTGGTTCTGTTTAGAAGGTACTTGAAACTCCCAGAGAGCACCTAGCTAAGTATCCTAGTAAAAGTTGTGGAATTTTTGCATGTATCAGTTTCACTAAAATGTAATTCACATACCATACATTTCACCCATTTAAAGTATACGAATCAGTACATTTTATTATAGCTGCAGAATTGTGCAACCATCACCACAATTCATTTTAGAATCAGAATTTTAAAACCCCTAAGCCCTTCATCTTCCTCTGGTAACCAATAGTGTCCTTTCTGTCTGTAGAGTTGCCTCTTCTGGATGTTTCATATAAATGGAATTCATAAAACATGTGAAAACTGGTTTTTTAATGGACATAGGAACACCAGCATATGAGCTTTCCTTTTACAAATCCATTTACTTTCCTTCCAAGGCTAGAAACAGCCAACAGTATAATTGGGGTTTGAGATTTTTGTAGCAAATCTCAGTCTGACCTGTTTCCTCTTCTTTTCACAGAAGGTGACGAAGTGGGTACTAGCATAACTGATGATAATGAAGATGAAAATTCAGCTAATCAGATTGCAGGAAAAATTCCCAACTTCTGTGTCCTGCTCCATGGCAGCCTAAAAGTGGAAGGAATGGTAGCAATTGTTCAGCTAGGGTAAGAAATGTTGTTTTCCTTTTGTTGAGTGGAAGGGAGAATCAATTAACAAAGTGAAGTATTTCCCAGACTTTTCTGAAAAAAATAGAAAGGTCCTTGTCTCCTTTTTCCTCTCCATGCCATACCCTCCCCACCTACCATCGCCTTCTCAATTGTTCTTAATTATCCCCTAAAGCAGGGATGGGGAACCTTTTTTCTGCCAAGGGCCATTTGGATATTTATAACATCATTCAAGAGCCATACAAAATTATCAACTTAAAAATTAGCCTGTATTTAGTCAAACATTTCATTAACTCACTCCTCATGCCTTGGCAGGGCCAGACCAAATGATGGGCCAGACATTTCCCACCCCAACCCTAGATTAAGTAAGAAAGTCTTTTAATGATATGCTTTTAGATTATAGAAGTTTTCTTCTATTTTATCTGGGAACCTAGATTCCGTTATAAACAAGGCTACCAATTTGCTATTATGATCTGCCAACTTGCTATTATGCAGTGTTCACAGACTCCTCAGCTACAAAATGAGGAGGTAGAATTAAATGAAAAAAGATGCTGATAAAATTAATTGAACATTTACTATATGCCAAGCACTCCTGTATGCTCCTTACATACATTAACATATTTAATCTCTCACAAACACTACACAGGAGGTATTGATATTATTCCCATTCTGTAGATGAGAAACTGAGGCATAAGAGGTCAAGGACCTTGCTCAAGGTCACATGGCTAGTAAATGGAAGAGCCAGGATTCTTACCTATGCATTTTTACTCCAGAGTCCAGGCTTATAACCACTCTGCTGTATTCCTCCCCTGAGAGGAAAGCCCTTGTAGCTTCTATATTCATGGCAGTCTTGCAAAGCTACCTGCTTCCCTTCCTATAATACCTGTTGTTAGAAAGAAGAGGTGACCGAGCATTTGTGGCCATTGCCTGGGATAGCCTGATATGAGGTCAGAGGAAGTATGGCTCCATTTCTGCTTGAGTTCAAATTAGTTAGAACAAAAAAAAGAATGCAGTTCTTTTTAGGCATTGGTTTGCTGTATTCCTTGGTACCCAAACTTCCTTGCACTGGCTCTGAAAATGAGAAACACCTGGGTCCTTTGTGAATCGGGAGCAGAGCTGGGTGATGGCTTTGTGCCTTTTGTTACAAGGTCTTCTCTGTGTTGTTGCTTCTGTGAATGACTCATGGAGGCAGCTGGAAAGACCAATAGATCACAGCCCTTACTCCTCACCAAGCCTGCAGCTGCCTCCTGTCCTTGTGATTTTTTTCTCTTTTAAGACTGCTTTGCCCTAGCCAGTTTGGCTCAGTGGATAGAGTGTTGGACTGCTGACTGAAGGGTCCCAGGTTCAATTCCAGTCAAGGGCACGTACTTCAGTTGAAGCTCTTCCCTGGCTGGGGCCCTGGTCGGGGCACATGCAGAAGGCAACCAATCGGCATATTTCTCTCACATCGATATTTCTCCATCTTTCTCTCTCCCACTCTCTCTCTGAAAATCAATGGAAAAATATCCTTAGGTGTGGCTTAAAAATAAATAAACAAATAACTGCTTTTGAGTTCATATCTAAATAATTGAATAAAAATACATGTCCCAGAGAAATGGTGATATTAGGGGGCAGCAGTATGCATTTTCAGGTTTAGGATTTGGCTTTAGTAAAAGTAATATACCTGATTTCAAAGCTGAAGCTTATGCCACTCAAGAGAAAAACAAAGGTTAGACTTATTTAACTTGACAGTCACAGGCTTGATATTCTTCTGATTTTTCATCTTCTCTCCACCTAGTCCTGAATGGCATGGAATGCTCTACTCCCAAGCTGACAGCAAGAAGAAATCAAACCTCATGATGTCTCTCTTTGAGCCTGGCCCAGAACCTCTCCCATGGCTAGGGAAAATGGGACAGTTGGGTCCTATTTCAGGTATAATGCAGATCAGATTTTATTGATCTTGACTTTGTTTTCCTCTCTGCTATTCTGAATGGCTCTGACTATATATAGTCAGAGAGCTGCATGATCTCCCTATGGGTGTGCTGTGGTCTCTGATGCTGGATATGTAAATGGAAAACTCCAAGAGAGTTTGATGTTTGAACTTTTTAACTTTGTAACTCAGGGGAAACTGTCATTTAGGTTGTTTTAATTACATATAAATGCTATAAATGCTTAGAGTAAAATTCAACTCTCTATAAACATTTTTCTTTCATCTAAAATTACCTTAGGCCGAAACCGGTTTGGCTCAGTGGTAGAGCATCGGTCTGTGGACTGAAGGGTCCCAGGTTCGATTCCGGTCAAGGGCATGTACATTTGGTTGTGGGCACATCCCCGGTAGGGGGTGTGCAAGAGGCAGCTGGTCGATGTTTCTCTCTCATCGACGTTTCTAACTCTCTCTCCCTCTCTCTTCCTCTCTGTAAAAAATCAATAAAATATATTTTATTAAAAAAAAAATTACCTTAGTGTAATTTTCAACCCAGATAATCCCCAGTGATTCCTAGATAATTTAATCCCCTAACTTCTTGGAACTGTTTTCCTTGGCTTTTCCTTATACTTAGTCTTTTTCTTCAGCAACTTTTTTTTTTTTCTGGCATATTTTCTTCTTGCCTCATGATGTTTTTTGCCTTTTTCTCTTGCATTAATATACTCTCCTGGTTATTAAATTGGCCATTATAGCTTCAGAGTCCCCCAAATCTATAAATCTGCTTGATTTTTCCCTGGAATTTGCATATTGTATTTCCACTTTCCATTGGACTTTTCCACCTGGATATTCTGCCACAGTCCTAAGCTCAGTGTGTTTGTTATAGAAACCATTGTCTCACCCCTCCCCTCTTGAACTGTTCCTTCTTCTGATTTTCCTACTTTTTCTGATAGAGGCCTTTTACCTTTATACTCCTAGGTACACAGGTTCCAACTATAGACATCCTTATCTCATTTGGGCCCATTTCACTTCAGGAACATCTACCAAGCAACCTATTTAGTGCTAAGTCTAGGGGATAAAAGAGTTAGCAAGAGTTACTCAAGCCGAAACCGGTTTGGCTCAGTGGATAGAGCGTCGACCTGCGGACTGAAGGGTCCTCCCAGGTTCAATTCCGGTCAGGACATGTACTTTGATTGCGGGCACATCCCCAATGGGGGGTGTGCAAGAGGCGGCTGATCGATGATTCTCTCTCATCGATGTTTCTAACTCTCTGTCTTGCTCTCTCTTCCTCTCTGCAAAAAATTAGTAAAATATATTAAAAATGTAAAAAAAAAAAAAAAAAAGTTACTCAAAGTCCAGTGGAAAGTTGAAAAATAAACACAGGCTGACACAGGGTCAGAGTTGGCCTGCAGGAGAGGATGATCACTTCTGCCTAGAGGACTCAGGAAAATCTCACAAGACCCTGGCCAACTTTTGGGGGAGAGGGGAAAGACAGAGGAATTTGGTGAGCCAGTGAAGGAAGAAATGGCATCCTGGACAAATGAAACCCCTATAGAAAAGAAAGCACAAGCTGTTTAAGGGAGGGGGGGGGGTTGGAAGGCCAGAGGGTAGGTTAGAGGTTGGCAGTGGCTGGAGCAGGGCAGGCCTCATCTGAAATGTGAGGAGCTGAAACTTTATTCTGCTGATGTTGGAAAGCCACCAAAGGGGAATAATATATCAGATCCTCTGGCTATAATGAGAAGAGTGGAGGTACCAGTTAGAAAACTTTGTATTCTAGGTACTATGCCCCCTGGTATTGTGCAATCTGACCGAAATCCAAGTGAGTGATAGTAAATTTGCATTTAGAAAAATAACTGTGAAATGTGGATTTGAAAAGGTAAGGACACCCTGCAGTAAGAAGTCGACTGTGATAGTCCTGGAGATGTGAAGGTGAGAGCCAGAACAAAGGGTAGTGGCTGGGGACACTGGATGGGATCCAGGCAAGTCATACTAGTATTTATAAGAAAGAATAAAGGAAAGCTAAGAATTAAAAATGATCCCAGGTTTCTGACCTTGGCTGCAGGGTGAAAGGTGGTACTATTAATTAAAACAGAGAACAGGAGTAAGAGTAGATTTGGTAAGAATATCTTTTGTGCATGTTGAGTTTATGTCTATGAGATTCAGATGGAGGTGCCTAGAGACAACTCCTATATGAACCTAGAGTTCAGCAGAGAGGGCAGAGTTGGAAATAAAATTTTTCATTACAAATACATCACTGATTGCTAAATGGTGAGAATGAGGGGGATTACTTAGGTCCAAAATTTGAGTTTTCATGTACAAAAATAAACCTGGAGAACTTGTATAAAAATTCTGTTTCCTGGGCCCTCACGTACAGAGATTCTGATTCAGTAGGTCTGGATTCAGGCCCAGGAACTTGCAGTTTTAATATTATCCCCATGATTACAATCCAGGTGATCTAAGCTCTAAGAAGCTGCAGCCTTAGCTTAAGGGGGAAAAGAGAGCTAGAAAGGGCCAAGCATCGGGGACAGTGGAAAGGGTGCTAGTAAAGGAAAATGAGAGGGAATAGGCAGATGAAAGAGGGAAAGTAGAAGTGATGTCGCAGAAGCCAAGAGAATAAGGAGACTCAAGAAGGAAGTACAGTGTCTCATACACTATCATGCTTGTCAGTTGAGCTCTAAGCATGACTTTTCCATTGAAGCCTATAGAAGATTTTAACTAACTATAGGCCCAGATGGTAGGCCAAGATTCAGCAAACTTTTTCAGAAAAAGAACAAGATAGTAAACATTTTAGGCTTTGCAGACCATATGGCCTCTGTCATAATTACTAAGCTCTGCCATTTGTAGCACCATATGTGCATAAATGATAGTGACTGTATTCCAAAAAGTATTACTTATGGATACCAGAATTTGAATTTTATATAATTTTCATGAATATTTCATGAAATATTATTCTTTTTATTTCTTTACCCAGCATTTAAAAAATACAAAAACCATTCTTAACTCAAAAATAGGCAACAGGTCATGGTTTGCCAGCTCTTGAGCTAGGATGCAGGGGCTGGGTTTTAAAGTTCACACTGGAAAAGGAGACATGACTTTGGTTCCAAGCAAAACAGAATTGATTCTGTGAGTAAAGCTAAGCATGTGGAAGGTATACCCTCTCAGTGAGAGGATGGCAAGAAGAATTCTACCCATTTTTTTTTCTATCTGTTATACTTTTTCTAGATATAAAGAAATTTTAAAATCTTCTATGAGAAATTGAAACCCAAGTCCTGCGCCATGCAGACTGATACTACCCATTCTGAATTGGGGATTTCTAAAACCAAACCATACAAAACTGGTTCTGAAGCAGCGAAACCCTCGGTGCATCCTCCAGAAGTTCATACAGTGGCTCTGTAGGAACATCTCTACAGCCCAGGGCAAAAGGACTTCCACAGAAAAATCCCTGATATGATGAGATCATAATTTGAAAACAGTTTCCAAATCATGAAAGGATTTTTTCTCCTTTGAAGGAAGGCCAACAGAGTGAGTGATTAGCATCCTGAGAATTAAATCTGAAATAAACTGTGGATTGAGTGTTTTAAAGATTTAAGGGTTTTAGGAAGGACTAAAAACCATGAGGTAAGAAGAGGACACTATAAATCAGGAGTCATTTGATCATGACAGTTAGGAAATGATTGGTGGCTTGATAAAAGTAGCTTCAGTAAGTAGTTAGCCAGGACATAGGTTGAGGATGAATTAGATATGAGGAAATGAAGATGACAAGTCTGGCCACCAAGAGTTGTAGGAGAACACAAGGGCAGAAGCAGTGTGTGTGTGTGTGTGTGTGTGTGTGTGTGTGTGTAACGATTCCTCACCTTCATCTATTCTCTCTAGCATCCTTACGTTCATTCTGCCTTTCATTCTCACTGCTCTTGCCTTGTTCTGGCTTTCTTTACCCTTCCCTTAGGTCAGAGGTCAGCTAATATGGCATGCAGGTCAAATTAGTCCACTGCCTGTTTTATAAGTAAAGTTTTATTACACAGGCACACTCATTCCTTTCGTATTGTCTATGGCTGCTCTCCTGCTCCAGTGGCAGAGTAAAGTAGTTACAAAGAGACCATATCATCCACAAAGCCTAAAATATTTATAGTCTGGCCCTTTATGGAAAAAGATTGCTCACCCCTGACCTAGACTATTGTGATAGTTTTCACCACAGATGCCTGTCCATCATCTAAGATAGTAGCATTCACATTTCTTTCTGATCTGGCTTCCAAGCAGTGCTTGTCTTGTTACATGCATTCTTCATTCAGATTGGACTGTTTACTCTGCCATATATTCAAGTTATTATTTTCCTCCCTCTGGGTCTGTTCTTTTTTGTTTGTTTGTTTGTTTGGTTTTTTTAATTTAAAAGGTTTATTAGAAGTGTTGCCTTGTGAGTTATACCTGAAGCTTTCCCTTGGTTTGGTTTCTGGTTAACTTCAGTTAGAATAGCAGTGATTGCTAGGTACAATACTGGTTTCATATACACGTCCAAATATCATGCATACAAATGTGGTGGTGTGTTTTTTTTGTTTTGTTTTTTATTGTCTAAAGTTTTATGTATGTCTTCTTTTCCCCAATTGATCTTCCCTCCCCCCACCATTCCCACCCTGGGCAAGCCCCCACCATCCCAGTGTCTGTGTCCGTTGCTTATGCTAATGTGCATGCATACAAGTCCTATGGTTGCTCTCTAACCTCCCCACCTCCCCTGCCATTTGTCTCTGGATCTATTTTTGTTCATCAAATTGTGTTGATCATTATATCCCACATATGAGTGAGATCATGTGATATTTATCTTTCTCCGACTAGCTTATTTCACTTAGAAAAATGCTCTCCAGTCCCATCCATGCTGTTGCAAATGGTAAAAGTTCCTTCTTTTTTATAGCAGCATAGTATTCCATTGTGTAGATGTACCACAGTTTTTTCATCTACTCATTTGCTAATGGGCACTTAGGCTGTTTCCAAATCTTAGCTATTGTAAATTGTGCTGTTATAAACATAGGGGTGCATATATCCTTTCTGATTGGTGTTTCTGGTTTTTTGGGATATAATCCTAGAAGTGGGGTTTCTGGGTCAAATGGAAGTCCCATTTTTAAAATTTTGAGGAAACTCCATACTGATTTCCACAGTGACTGTACCAGTCTGCATTCCCACCAGCAGTGCATAAGGGTTCCTTTTTTCTCTGCATCCTCACCAACACTTGTCATTTGTTGATAATAGCCATTCTGACAGGTATGAGATGGTACCTCATTGTTGTTTTGATTTGTATTTCTCGGATAATTAGTGACTTTGAGCATGTTTTCATATGTCTCTTGGCCTTCAGTTATGTCCTCTTTTGAAAAGTGCCTACATAGGTCCATTGCCCTTTTTTTTTTTATTGGGATGTTTATCTTTCTTTTGTTAAGTTGTATGAGTTCTCTGTAAGTTTTGATTAAAGATTAAATCCTTATCTGAAATAGCATTGGCAAATAGTTCTCCCATGCAGTGGGCTTTCTTCTTGTTTTGTTGATGGTTTCTGTGCAGAAGCTCTTTATTTTGATGTGGTCCCACTTGTTTATTTTCCCCTTGGCTTCCATTGCCCTAGGAGCTGTGCTGGTAAAGGTATTGCTATGACATATGTCTGCTGTTTTGCTGCCTATGGAGTCTTGTAGGATTTTTATGGTTTCCTGTCTTACATTTAAGTCCTTTATCCATTTTGAGTTTGTTTTTGTGTATGGTGTAAGTTGGTGATCTAGTTTCTTTTTTTCTTTCTTTTTTTTTTTTTGCTGACCAAATTTCCCAGCACTATTTACTGAAGAGACTGTCTTGACTCCATTGTATGCTTTTGCCTCCTTTGTCAAATAATAATTGAGCATAATGGCTTGAGTCAAAAAATATGTGTTACTTTGCAATTACTTATTTTTAAAGAGTGTGAATCTGCTATCTTATTAAGAATACTATTATACTATCTAGCTCTTTCTTGGAAAAAAAATCAGAATTCTTGCTAAGACAACTTAAATTATTTTTCTTTCATATGTTTGTTCAAAATATATATATTGATTTCAGAGAGGAAGGGAGAGGAAAAGAGAGAAAAAAACAGCAATGATATGAGAGAATATTTTATTGGCTGCCTCTTTGTACAACCCTTACTGGGGATCAAACCTGCAATTCTGGCATGTGCCCTGACTGAAAATTGAACCATGATGTCTGGGTTTATAGATAGATGCTCAACCACTGAGCCACACTAGCTGTTTTTATGTAGATATTCTTTACAGCTTATCTGCAAAGAAAATAGATTTTATTTTATTTTATATTATTGGTTAATACTCACCTGAGAATATTTTTTCCATTGCTTTTCCAAGTGGAAGGGAGGAAGGGAGAGAGAAACATGATGTGAGAGAGGTACATCAACTGGTTGCTGTATCCCCACCCACCACCCACATGCACTCTGACTGGGGTGGGGATCAAACCTGCAACTCAGGTACGAGTCCTTGACCAGGAATTGAACCCATGAGCCTTAAGTACTTGGGCCATCATTCCAACCACTGAGCAACACTGGCCACGGCAGAAGCTTAATTTTGCAAAGCAGTGGAAAGAAATGGTATCTTAGGAAATGGTACTTCTCTCTCTAAAGTCATTTTATCTTAAATGCCTAATTTAAAAATTAGATTTCTCATTTGCTTTAGCAAGTGCTTTTTAAAAAATGTTTGAGACTTTTTTCCCTCAGGCACTCTGTTAAAAAGTTCTGCTTCCAGTGTTTTAAATACATATATCAGTTCATTTGTGTAAGGAAAACTAATTTCTTCAGCATACACATTAGTATTTGTCTGGAGTTGAAAATATTTCAATGAAATATTTATTTTGACTTTGGGCAACACCCATAGTAACCAATAGTATATCATGTGACAATTCTATAATAGGTATGTCAGGTTCCCTCCAATAGGAACCTGACATACATGATTATCATCTTAAGCAGCTTTTGAAGAACCTTACCTTCAGAAATTCTCTCTCTCTTTCTCCCTTCCTCTCTCCCTTTTTTTCTCTTTCTCTCTCTATATACATATACATACATCATACATGCATACTTTTTGGTGATTATAGTTTGAGTATATGTAAGAGCTAACATTTTTATTGAACTTAACTTTGTGCCTGGCACTGTGCTAGGCACAATGAAATGTATAATCTCATTTAATTCTCATAATAGTAGTCTTATGAGGTTGGGATTGTCATTATGGTAACAAGGAATGATTAATAATAAAACCTACCTTAGAGATTTGTTGAGAGAATTTATTGAGAGGAATAAGTATAAAGTTTCTGCTATAGTAGACACATAATGGGAAAAGATTTAAGCTCCCTGCCTGGTTGGGAAAATGATTCCCAGAAAGTAGTAACAATAATGACAAGCCAGTAGATGTAGGAATGCCCTGTAAGTTTGTGGCAGTTTCATTGGCTCAGGAAGCAGGTAGAAAAACAAGAACCCTTGTTTATTCACATAGCTATAAAACCAATATGGCTTTAATCCTTTGGAAGCAATAAACTAATAAACCATAAATAAGGTGGGGTATGTTCACCAAAAAGTACTTCTTTTCTTTCTTATTTCTTTTAATATATTTTATTGATTTTTTACAGAGAGGAAGGGAGAGAGAGAGAGAGAGAGAGAGTCAGAAACGTCGATAAGAACGAAACATCGACCAGCTGCCTCTTGCACACCCCCTACCGGGGATGTGCCCGCAACCAATGTACATGCCCTTGACCGGAATCGAACCTGGGACCTTTCAGTCCACAGACCGACGCTCTACCGCTGAGCCAAACCGGCTTCGGCTACTTCTTTTCTTAATCTGGCTATATAATCACTATGCTGTCTAATCCAGTAGCCACTAGCCATAGGAGGTTATTTAATTAAACAAAATTTAAAATTCAGAACCTCAGTCACACTAGCTATGCAAGTGTCCTATAACCACATGGGCTAGTGGCTGTCATTCTGTCATTGCAGAAAGTTCTGTTGGAAAATGCTAGACTAAGCTATACAGTATTTCCATTTGTATGTTTATTTTTAAAAATAGTACATTAGTATTATTGTATGTTTTTGTTTTATCTTTTCTGAGTTTAATTCATAAAGCAAATAATAAGTAAAGCTTGTTTCTTTAAAAATATCAAGCTCTATTTCACTTACATGGGCCTTAGTTGATTGTTTGGTCTCTTACGTCAGTGGCGTTTAATTGAGAACAAGATCCCCAATCTGACTGAAGTTAATAGATTTTCTTAATTAGGGAAGTAACAGGATATAAAAGATTGAATGATTTCAAAGAGCTTCTAGCCTAATTAGAAATGTAATTGATTGTGTTCTGCCAGATCTCATTTCAAGAATGTCTTTTTCTTTTAAGATGCTAAAGAAAACCCTTACGGTGAGGATGACAATAAGAGCCCATTCCCCCTGCAGCCTAAAAACAAACGCAGTTATGCCCAGAATGTGACTGTCTGGATCAAACCCAGTGGCCTGCAGGTAATATTACCATTCACATAGCTTTCCACTGGGGACAAGGAGGAGGGATTCTGGCAGGCAGGCAGACATTTGATCTGATTTTCCTTCCCTTTGATACTTACTAATTCATTTACTTCTAATGTTTGTCATTATTTCCAAAAAGGATTTGAGGTGGCCTACGGTAAAAAGAGTATACAGCAAAATCAATTTTTACAAAATTTAGAGCAATACAAAACCTAGAGGAAGAGGGCAGACAGTTGTTCCAGGAACTCAAGGCAAAATAATTGTATTGAACAATTTGGCTCTGAGCTACCAAAGTCAAAAGAGAAACAAGTAGGGTTTATGGTATATAGGGTTGTATGTCTGATTAAAGGAAGTATGTCAGTTTTTCTAGAGACACATTTCCCTGGCATTGAATTTTAATGTGAAGTTTTGGACATGTTGAGAAATTGAATAATATAATGGGTGTTATCTTTAACAACAAGTTTGAGAAAGATGTGAAAATCTTCATGTGGTTATTTTTTCCATCCCCACAGTAGATGGAAACCATAGCATTACACTGTAATTTCACAAAAACACTTTCATGGGAAGCTGTGAGTAGATTATTACCAAGATATGCTACTTTCAGGCAAGGTACTGAGTGACATTTCTTCTCCCAAAAAGTCCTTTGTTCCTATTTTTTAAAATCACTTTTGAGCCGTTGTTCTCATTTAAGTGCCTTTTTTTCCTTTGTTCCTCCAATGAATCCATCTTAAGCCGGAAGAGAAGAGGTAGTCAGGTCACCTGACAACAGAAATGGCTTCTGTTGATGACGTAGTCCCCCTTTTCATGGAGACTGCACACGTCCTGCCATGGCTAAGGGAAGGGAGGTCTCTTCTCTTTGTTGGAAAATCAGGTTTTCCCTCTTTCCTATCACCTCTGACCTGAGCACTTCCCTATTGGAAGGATAGCTGGTTTCCCCTCCCCCCCTAATTTTTCTAAACTTATTTTAAAATTTTTATTTTAGACTAGGTGTATTTTTTTATGCGATGAAATACACATAACATTGACCATTTCAACCACTTTTAAATATACCATTCAGTGGCATTTTGTATAATTACAATGTTATTCAACTACTACTACTATTTCGTTCTAGCATATTTTATCACCCCAAAAGGAAAACCTGTACCCATTAAACAAGTCACTCTATTTTCCCATCTTCCCCCAGTCCTTGGCAACCAATAATCTGCTTTCTGTCTCTTTGGATTTGCCTATTCTGAGTATTTCATATAAATGGAATCATATAACATGTGGCCTTTTTGGTTTGGTTTTCTTCCACTGAGCACGATGTCAATGTTCATTCATACATCAGTACTTTTCCCTTTGGTGGTTGAATAACCCATTGTGTAACCAGGCCACATTTTGTTTATCCATTCATTCAGTTGATGGCATTTGGATTGTTTCTATCTTTTTGCTATTTGGAATAATGCTGCTATGAAAATTCATCAAATTAATTTTTTTCTTAAGGTGCTGTACTGTTGTAACTAAAAATCATAGCCAAATCCAAGGTCATGCCCTGACCGCTTTGGCTCAGTGGATAGAGCATCAACCTATAAACTGAAGGGTCCCAGGTTTGATTCCAGTCAAGGGCATGTACCTTGGTTGCGGGCACATCCCCAATGGGAGGTGTGCAGGAGGCAGCTGATCAATGTTTCTGACTCTATCCCTCTCCCTTCCTCTCTGTAAAAAAAAAAAAATCAATAGAATTTATATATTTTTTAAAAATCTAAAGTCATGAAGATTTGCCCTATGTTTTCTTTTTAAGAGTCTGACATGTAAGAATTTTAGCTCCTGCCCAGACCGGTTTGGCTCAGTGGATAGACCATCGGCCTACGGACTGAATGGTCCCAGGTTCAATTCCCGGTCAAGGGCATGTACCTTGGTTTCTGGCACATCCCAATAGAAGGTGTGCAAGAGGCAGCTGATTGATGATTCTCTCTCATCGATGTTTCTGACTCTATCCCTTTCCCTTCCTCTTTGTAAAATATCAATACAATATATTTTTTTAAAAAGAATTTTAGTTCTTGCATTTAGGTCTCTGATACATTTTTATTTTTTTGGTGTGAAGGGTCCAACTCCATTATTTTCTGTGTCTGTCTAGTTGTTCTAAAACCAACTTCATTCTTTTCTATGTGACTATCTAGTTGTTCTAGCACCATTTGTATCATAGAAGAAACTATTCTTACCCCATTAAATGGTCTCGGCAACCTTGTCAAAAAAGCAGCTGGCCATATATATAATTACTTGGTATGTTTTTGTGAAACAAGTTAATTTCTGTCACCAAGGGATTTATTAACAAGCACTTTGCAGGAGGGAGGTGCCGTACTAATATTGAACAGAACAGTGACATTAGAGACATAAATTCAGAAGGGATTCTTATTTTGACACTGTAGCTCTATTTATATGTTCATTTCTTTAAACATTTAGAGCCATCTTTTTGAATTCTTTCCCCTTTACCACAGAAATCTAATGTTAAATTTGTTTTATCCTCGATAGACAGATGTACAGAAGATTTTAAGAAATGCAAGGAAATTACCTGAAAAAACGCAGACATTCTATAAGGTGAGACTCTCAGAATTACAGTGGAAGAGGGTGAGCCCTGGGATGGGTGCCAGAAATAAATGGTTTCCCATAGTTAGTGTGGGGTCATAGAGTGAACATGGACAGGTATTAGAAATACTTTATGGATTGTGCTTCAGTTTTTTCATCAGTAAAGTCAGTAGAAGTGATAGGTCCATTTTTGCCCTAAAATCCAAGAATTGGAAGTGCTTAAATGGCCTGGTTCTGTGCAGGAGGGCTTCTCTGTGTTGGTGCTGCTATGACTGGCTGAAGGAAGGAGTGGAAAGGATCTCAACCCTCATACCCCTTAACACTCTTCATCATTCCCATATAAATCCAAAAAAGAGAAATGGGTTTTCTGACCCATTTCTAACCCCAGGCTACCATTGACTTCCTGGGATGGTGATTGCCCAGGACATTCTTCCTGTCCCAGAGAAGCTGCTTCCAGGAGACTTCTAAAATTGCACATTTATGAATTGCAAAAGGAGAGCCTTCAGCAATCATACCTCGCTAATCCAGATCCATTGGTGGAAGGAATAAAGTCACAAGGGGTGAGGTGGAGTTGGAGCCTTTAAGCTCCTTCATTTCTCTCCTGTCCTCTGGTGTTTGGCTGAAATCAAATTAAGTGGCAGCATGAGGTATGCTGATGTCAGTTATATCCTAGTTTGCTAAGTTTAAAATGTGGACACACATACAGCCCTAGGCTAGCATTTGTTCCAGAGAACATACATGCTACTTTGTCTGGCTGTTATTTCATTACCTTTATGTCACTGTTGTCTTCAAACCTAATTATGTAGTGAGCTGGCGAAATTAAGTAAGAACAACCTTAATCAGAGTTCAGCCCCAGAGAGCTGGCCAGCCTGCCACGCCTCCCTAACTGAAAGCCAGCTCACACAGCCCTTGGTGACCATTCTGGCTGTGGTCCTCCCTCCCGAGCTTTCTACACACAATCATCAGCTTCTATTCGAGATGACACACTTGTACTTCGGCCTTTTGAGCTTTTCGTTTATTTAACAGATGACAGAGAAGTGGTCCGAAAGCCCATTTCTCTCTTCTGGATTTATACAATCCCTCATATCAGAGCTGGAAAGGGCCTCTACCAGGCAATTGCTTCGGTCCCCGCCGTGGGCAGGGAAGAGGTTATCCTCACTTTGTAAATGAGGCCACTGAGACCCAGAGGCTATACACATTGCCCAGATCACACAGCTACTTGTGCTGACTGGGTGATGGGGCACTTCCTATTTCTCTGCTTCCATTCACTACCCCACCTTTTTTTTTTTTTTAAGAGAGAGGAGAGAGAGAGAGAGAGAGAGAGAGAGAGAGAGAGAGAGAGAGAGAAACATCAATGTGAGAAAGAAGTATCTATTGACTGCCTCCTGCACACTCCACACCGGGGATCAAGGCCCAAACCTAGGCATGTGCCCTGACCAGGAATCAAACTGGCAACCTTTTGGTGCATGAGTCAAAATGCCCACCCAACTGAACCACACCAGCCTGGATCCACCTTTCTTTCTGTGGCTGTCCTGTGGGACAGGCTTCTGACTTCTGTGTTCATTGTCATTCAGTGGGAGAGGCTAAGAGCCCTCTGAGGTTTGGGACAAGCCTTTTCCATACCTGAGTAACAGGAAAAGTGTAACCTTAGAGTTATGAGTAAATAAAATGATGTTTGCAAAGTGCCTCACTACATTTGCTTGAGTGCTCATTAACTGTGTGGTGATAACCTGTTTCAGTCAGTGTCTTTCTTACCCAGCTTTCTTATCACCTTAGAGGAACTGCTTCTCAGTTATGTTATGTCATCCCACTCTCATTATAGGTCCCTAGGCCTGACTGGCGATCAGGGCTGATGGGGGCCTTCTGGCTCTGGCAGGGCCTCCCTCCCCCAGGGGCCTTCCTTCTTTCCACACCACCTGCTGGTGGTCAGCGCACACCATTGTGAGCAATCGCACTCCTGGTCGAACTCCTGAGGGGACACTTTGCCTATTAACCTTTTATATATAGAGATAGAGATGCTCACTTAAGTTTGGGGGTCAATGAGAACTTCTTCTGAGCACTTAGAAAGTCTATGACCGTTCCAGACAGGGAAATGGCTGGACTGTCTTGGTCAGGTAGACAGAATAGGCAGGGGAGTCAGTAAGGAAGTCAACAAGATGGAAGAAGGTGAAGTGGGAATAGAAATCTGTCAAGAAGTGGGGCCAGCCAAAACCGGTTTGACTCAGTGGATAGAGCGTCAGTCTGCAGACTGAAGGGACTCAGGTTCGATTCCGATCAAGGGCATGTACCTAGGTTGCAGGCACATCCCCAGTGGGGGGTGTGCAGGAGGCAGCTGATCGATGTTTCTCTCTCATGAATGTTTCTAACTCTCTATCCCTTTCTTCCTCTCTGTAAAAAATCAATAAAATATATTTTTAAAAAAGAAGAAGTGAGGCCAGACCAGTGTGGCTCAGTGTTTGAGCATCCACCTATTAACCAGGAAGTCATGGTTTGATTCCCAGTCAGGGCACATACTCAGGTTGTGGGCTCAATCCCCAATAAGGAGGGTGCAGGAGGCAGCTGAACAATGTTGATGTCTCTCTCCCTCTCTGAAATCAATAAAAATATAAATATTTTTAAAGTGGAGCTTTGAGAATTTAATAGTCTACCAGTGGAGACTATAATTTCTGCCTAATTATGTATATTATTCATCAAAAATTAGGCCATCATAGTTGAGGTATGTGTATGATATTTGCAGATAAGAAAAGGTGATTGTATTTTCTTAAAAAGTATTTCACATGAATGGTTTTAAATCTACTTATCCAGTTATACCTTTGAAAAAACAACCTGCTTTTAGCCAGAAAGTTTTGCTCAGTGGTTAGAGCATCGGTTCTCAGACTGAGGATATCGGGTTTAATTCCCGGTCACGGGCATGTACCTCAGTTGCAGATTCAATCCCCACCTGGTAGGGTGCATGTAGGAGGCAACCAGTCGATGTGTCCCTCTCACATGGATGTTTCTCTCTAACCGCCTTTCCCTCCCTCCAATCACTTTCACTCTCTAAAAGTCAATGGAAAAAGTATCCTCAGGTGAGAAAAAAAAGTTGGTGGGGGTTTTTTAAGTATATAATAAGGAAATTGCATTTTAGGAACATTAATTTTTTTTTAATCTTATTACAGGAACTGAACCGTTTACGAAAGGCTGCCCTGGCCTTTGGCTTCCTGGACCTGCTCAAAGGGGTGGCCGACATGCTGGAAAGGGAGTGCACGCTGCTGCCCGACACAGCCCACCCCGACGCAGCGTTCCAGCTGACCCACGCTGCCCAGCAGCTCAAGCTGGCCAGTACTGGCACCTCCGAGTATGCTGGCTATGACCACAACATCACACCTTTGCAGACAGACTTCTCTGGGAGCAGCACTGAGCGAATGTAAAGCTGACTTTGGGGGCCTTTCTTCTTTTTCATTTAAGTCCAAATGATTTAGGGTAAAACCTTCTCCAGTGTCCACCTCTGCAGCAGCCACCGGAGGCTGCCTCAGAAGCACCACTTGCTGGTTTGAATGACTCCAACGGTCTAAGGGCTTTGGCTTCGCTTTCTAGGCTCAGTCTTTCAGCCCAAGGTACCTGTTGCTCCCGTGATGGGTACATCTGAGAAACTTGAAGGTGTGATGGGTACAGAGCTCTCCCCCTTCCTCAGAAAACCTGACCCACAGGGGTCTCTGGCTTTCTGAAAGGCATCTTCTCTCCTCTGTCATAAGAACATTTTCAAGATTCTGCCCTTGGATTGAGCAACCCAGACTGTCTGGGTCAAGCTAAGGACAAGCCCTGCACCACTGAGTTTCGGAACCTTTCTTAGGACTTGGGCAAAACTTTTTCACTTAGGTGCTTTTGGTATGTCTTGAGATACAGACTTTTAAATAGAAATCATAAATGTATAAAATTATTCCCATTCAAGGTTTGTTTTTTAATGAAAAAGTATTTGATTTTCTATAAAAGGTTTCACTGGTAAATTAGTCTTTTTGTCTTTTGGTCTGTTCTATCTGGATATAAGTTCAGCTTTCTATGTGGCAGATTCATAAATCATGAGGGTTCCTTGTGTTCCATACTGACTTCCTTGTTTCTGACACCTGTTAGGTCTCATTGCCTACGCCAAGTTCCATTCAGGTATTCTGACAGGTCACTGCAGTCCGCTCCCCTTCTAATTCATCCCCTAGCTTCATGTCATTGGGCAAGTCCTGTATCTTCTCTAGGTTTTATTTATATTATCAGTGCTTTTCAGATTGCTCTGGGGGCCGCCTAAAGCAACAGTCACCAACCGGTGGTCCGCAGACCACTGTGGTCCATGAGGTCCGAAAGGTTGGCGACCACTGGCCTAACGTATTACTTCCTAGGCTTCAACCTGAGCATCCACTTCTGGTTTAGCAATATTTTGTCTGGATAAAGGACTTTATCACTAACAATTTGAAGACCATTAGAGTAAATAAGTGATCTTTAAACACAAGTTATGATTTTGACTGTAAATGTTTAATAGAAATACACAATCTTTTGCTCTCTCAGATAGTAACACAAAGGCTTGTTAAGAATGTAAGATTTGCCACAGATGGCAGCATAATCTGCTGCGAAGCTGATCTGCCTAATTACACACAGAAACTCAGGGGAAAGAATATCAGAAATTAATACAAACAAGTACTGACAGAAGATACAGACATGCAAAATATCCTTCAGTGCAATGAACTTGTAAAACAAATCAGCCAGTCTGCTAATCATATGTTTTAGGTCAAACCAAGTTTCCACCTTGGGCTCAGAGAAACAGCATAGCTCATTTAGTCCCCTTTTCCCCGGGAACAATGGGAATGGCACAACTGAGCAATCGTGCCTTAAATTCTCCATACAAGCATTACTTCTAACACATTTTGCTTGGAATGTGAAGAAACTGATGTTTTTGACAATGGCCAAACTGCATAATGCCTAGGCTTTTCAGTTCTGCTGGTGGGTTTCCCGCCAGGACCTGTGTTAATGGGCCAGCTGGTAGTTCTCCAGCCAGTGTTCTCTGCGCACTGTCCAACTTCAGAAGTGAAACAGCAGAATAAAAGCAGGTGTTTCGAGGTCTAAAAAACACACCCCACCACGACCTCTGACAGGTACATAAAGGGACTTGCCCAGCGGGGGGAAGCAGCTTGAGTTGTTTGTGCACAGCCTGAGGCAGTTTTGCAGGTGTGTAGACTGGCCTACTCTAGTGTTTCCAGTTCGCTACAGGCTGCATTGCAGGCAGCTGCCTTGTGGCCAGTCTGACCCTTCTGACCCCTTTAACCATTTGGTGTTGGAACTCTTATAATCTCATTATTTTCTAACTAGTGTTTCATCTTTAGTTGAAAATAGTTCTGATTTATCTTGGAATGAAGTAAGTGATCATGGTGTTCCAAGGTTCTGATTGGTTTCTCCCCAATCATTCTGTGTCCACACAGGTAAGCACTGTATAGTAGCATATCGTTAGGCCAAAAATTTCAGAGGTAATATGGATGCTGAGGCCACTTGGACTCAAATGTTTTTCAGTGACTGAGCCAAACAGATTTTTAAAAAATCAATGCCACTCCACTTATTAAGGAACCTTTTGGGTACAGAATATATTCGGTCCTGCCTAAGTCATTTTCACAGCCTCCACTAAAACAAAACAGTCTTGTTTTTCTCCCACAATCAATAGCTGAAAAGAACACATTCCAGCTGTCAGAAAGGCCAGTGCCTAGTAGGTTCAGGGCACTGATGAGATCTCTGGCTTGTGTGAAACAGACTGACTGGACATGGAGTGGGTGGGGACAGGGCTGAGTCTGATATCACCAATAGATTACAAAAGAACAAACCTGTCATCAGATAGCATGCAAGTACTACACTAAGATAATACAATAAATTCAGGATGTAACAGGAAAAGGGAAGATAGCCTTACTGAGAATTTAATCATTTAACTTTAAAAAAACTTTTACATCAGTATAAGAAGGTAAAACTGTAAGAATTATAGATTAGGCTCAAAAGTCTACATGGTAAGAAGTCATCTAAATCTCTTTTCAGTGGATCTTTTTCTTTTTTTGTCCATAGTGTCGCCTACGCTGTTTATAAAGGTGACGGAAATTTATGTATAATCCTGAAAAAGAAAAGAGGCCAATTAGACATGAGAATCTTTGTCCTGTTTATAACTAGAAGCTCTTGGGCAGGGACACTCTCTAGTTGGCTGTTTTTCATACCCCTCTGTATTTACTGCAGCTGCTCAGGAAGTACGATTCAATAATATTATAAGTTAGTGACAATGCACCAGAGACCACTCAATTTTCTCCCAGTGGGTTTACAATTTCACTTTCTCCCATTTTGATTATGAAAATTATCAAACATACAAAAAAGATTAAATCGTTGTACAGTAAATACCATCTAGATTTAAACTTTAACTCTATTACATTTTTTTTTATCACATACCCATTCCCATCTCATTTTTTGTGTTTTTCAGTGAAAGTTAAAGACATCAATATCCCTAAACATTTCCTTAATTGGAGTTCACAATATTTTTTCCCAATTTCTTTTCAAGTAAGACTTACATAAAATACACAAATTTGAAGTATAGAAACAACCTGATTTCTAATTCAAGGCTATGCAATAACCTGTATAAAGCAATAGTTTAAAAGGTGTGTGATACTTTTCTAGGAAGCACAATCTTCTCAATTAGAAAATACAGGATTTTGGCCCGGCCAGCATGGCTCAGTGGTTGAGCATCAACCTATGAACCAGAAGGTCATAGTTCAATTCCTAGTCAGGGCACATGCCCAGGTTGTGGGCTTGATCCCCAGTGTGGAGCATGTCGGAGACAGCCAATTATGATTCTCTCTCATCTTTGATGTTTCTCTCTCTCTCCCTTTCCCTTCCTCTCTGAAATATATATATATATATATATATATATATATTTTTTTTTTTTTTTTTTTTTTTTTTAAACACATGATTTTAGTCAGAAAGAACAAATTTCAGTTCTACTTTATCACTGTGACAGTTAGGGGTCGCCAGGCCTGCAGGGGAAGGCAGTTGTGGACAATCAGGCCAGCAGGGGAGGACAGTTAGGGGCAAACAGGCTGCAGGGGAGTGGTTAAGGGTGATCAGGATGGCAGGCATTAAGGAGTTAGGGGTTATCAGGCAGAGGCAGGAGAGCAGTTGGGAGCCAGCAGTCCTGGATTAAAACCCAAGGGACTTTTAAAAGTTTGAGTCATTTAGCTCTACATTCTAATGAAGTGAGAGGAAAAAGTCTATTACAGAACCAATACTTACCTAAAAATAACATTATAAGATAAATCTGAAGAAAAAAGGAAAATCTAACTTTGATTTCCATGGGATATGGCAATGTGAAACTGAATCTCCCTGTTTCATTGAACACTGGAATGGACTGGATCACAGAAACAGCTGAAAGCAGAAACAAGAACTTGTTAGAAGCAAATAAAGCAGTCACATCTAGTGACAGCACCTTTTAACTCCTCCAAGTTTCAGTTATGGGTTTGTTGAAAATGATATACGATATTCTATAAAGTGGAGAGAAAAATCCCTACCACTGGTTGTTAGAATAAACTTAAGTCATAAATATGAAACTGCTTTACCCAGTGTGGCTCAGTGGTTGAGCACTGACCTATGAACTAGGATGTCACAGTTTGATGCCTGATCAGGGCATATGCCCAGATTTCAGGCTCAATCCCCAGAAGGGTGTGTAGGAGGCAGCTGGTCAATGATTCTCTCTCAACACTGGTGTTTCTATCTCTCCCTCTCACTTCCTCTCTAACATCAATTAAAAAACAAACAGTAAAATAAAAATATGAACCTGCTTCAGAAAATTAAAACTACCATAGAAATAGGAAGCATGACCACCAGCTCTCAAATGTGTCACATCCCTGGAACAGTCTGGATACCAGCAGTATTATGGAAGGAAGCCACTAGAAAGATAATATTGAAAAGTCCAACTTCCATAGACTGACTAAGGCTGGCAGAAGGAGGAAGAAAGATCTGGCCTAATGGCGAAGCTGTCCCCTGGGGCTGAGCTATAAAACATAGAGTTCCTGAAAGTACCTTCTGCCAAACATCCCAGAGGATATAGCGGGATCCACACAGTGTAACGAAGCCATGTGAGCACTTTCCAATCCATGTCAATGCAGGAAAGCATGTAGTAGGGGTACCTATTGAAAGTAAGGAATTCAGATATTGAAAGCCACTAGAACATCATTCAAACAGAACCATTTCACAATTAGCCACACAGCTTCTTCAGAACAGAAGTATAATCCTGCGCTATCTACCCACAAACTCCCATATGCTCCTCCGACATTCAAAGGATGTGAACTCTCTTTAAAGACAGAGGAAGTGTAGGTCTCAAAGGAACCCTCTCTGAAATAGTTGAGTAAGTAGAATGGGTGATAAGAAGTTAATTGGCTTTATTCCTAGTTATGATCGACATTCCAAGTAGGTAAGGCTGACAGACACATTGACAGCACTTTATCTCTGGATAAACAAATGCTATAAAAATTGACTATACTTAAGCATAACACCAAACACCTTTAGCCTCAAACTACTTATGGAATATGTACGGTCTGATAGAGAATATACCTATTTTAATTGTGTTTTTAAAAAAAGATTATTTTATTAACAACTGGGGATGGAAGAAGCAGGTAAGCAAGCGGTCAATTTAAACTTCAGAAATCTTACAGTAAAAGATTCATTTTTACCATCCCTTTTAGAAGGCTAAGTCTCTTCACTAGTTCCATTCAACCTGGATTGTTCCTTCAACCCCAGATCTTTTCAGCCCTTTCATGAATTTTTCTCTTCCCACCAAGACAAGATCCTGAAGGGAAAGATGGGTCTTTTCATTTCTCTGGGTCCCTCCTGCTCCCCAGTGCCCAGGCTGGCACTACGATCCAATGGCAGCTTAAAACAACTCTGCCTCACGTTTGCAGAGCACATAGCTGCAGCCACACTCTCCAAGGGTGGATCCTTAATCCCAAACCAAATGAGACTCTGGGTCAGTCAGCATCTCTCTCAAGAAGAGAGCTGATCCAAAGGAGAAGGATTCAAACACCATCCTAGCATTTCTACCCACCTGAAAATTTCAATTGTGCTCCACAGATAAAACACAAAGAAAACCACGGCTTTGTTTTGCATTTCTTCCATAGTGCCAATGACGATAAACAAAATGAAATTTCTTCCAAAAAGCTATTAAAAGGACCCAAAAGAGAGAAAAACATTTTAAAATATATTTTTAAAAACCATATACATAAGTTATCTGAAACCTAACCCCACTAAATTCAAAGTAAATAGAAAAAGATTGAGCTCAACTGGTTTAATCCTTTGCTCCAGTTTTGCAACAAGTTAAATGTTCAAACCAGTCTTTCTGGATAAGTGAGTGTGCGTGTATATGTAAATGTATGTGTGTGTGTGTAAAAAAAATACACAAACAGTTTAAAGGATACTGATGAATGAACACTTAAGCCTGCATAACCCAAGTTGAGAAATAGAACATTACCAGCATGGCACTCCCTCTCCTGCCCGGTAAGTAACTACTGTCTTGTGTTAACCATTCCACTGTTTTCTTTATAGGCTCACTATTTATATATGGATTCCTATGCAGTACACTGTTTCTCTCTGCTGTTTTTTAACATGCTGAAATTATTCTATGGGTAATATTCTGTAACTTACTTCTTACTCGATGTTAAGTTCTCAAGATTCACCCACATAGCATCATGTGGCGCTCCCAGCTCCGGGAGGCTTCGTTCACATCGGATCTGTGAACGGAACCTGCTGGCCCCATGCAATGGGACACTGAACCTGTCCCGTCCCTCTAACCCTATGCTTATGTGTACTCGTCACTGATACACAAAAAATGTTATTCCATATTAGTAGGTCAATCACTATCCCTTTTTATTTTTTAAACTAAACCAAGCAGACTCTTTCCAAAGGCAGAAAACCTAGAAATAACAAGGCTACCACATTAACACTTTTATCAATACTATGCAACTGATACTATTAGCATGCCAGGGTTGGTACACCACAAAAGCGTAGAATCATAAAAACTACTCCAGAAAAGGGTAACCAATAATCACCGTGTCTGGGGAGGTGGCATTTAATGGTACGTGACTGCAGTAACAGAAAGAATGAAGAAAGGCTTTGCTGCTCCGTTCCTGGTAACACTCTTCCAAATATGGGAAGTTACATAGATGTATTAGGGGGAGGGATCCCCACACAAGTCAGCAGAGCCACCTTCATGTATGAGAGCAAGTCCAAAGTGAAAGAGTTCTGAGGTCTATCCTGCCTTTATCCACCCACGGGGGAGGAGACCAAGCATGTCTCTAAGAGGACTGAGGGTAGGATTTTCTGCTGCTGCCTGAGAATCAAGTTTCCCTAGTTGTACAGCTCTTTGTATAACTGTGATTTCATGAAGGTGTTATAATGAAATCTACCTGAAATGGCAAAAGTTTACTTTGGAAAATATTCCTGAGGCTTAACTTTTTCCTCCTTGTTCAGATAAAACAATGCTTTTCCTATGCCAATAAGTATTTTTACTAATTGAGACTTTTCAGAAAATTGTGACATAACTACTAAACACTGAACTCTTTCATTCCCCACCCTAGAGATCAACTATTTAATACCTGGATAACAGAAGGTATCACTGGTGACTTAGTGACTCCAATTGCTGCATTGATAGCCTCCACAACCGCCAACATCTGGCAGAAATACATCATGTCAGCTATGCTGTGGAATGTGTCATAGAAGGACTCTATGGAACAAGAATACATTAAGGGCAAATGAGCTGGCAAATTACAACCGGATTATTTCTCAAACTATATAATGCCTTAAACAAAAGGAATTTTTTTAAAAAAGTATAATAGCCAAAACCGGTTTGGCTCAGTGGATAGAGTGTCAGCCTGCGGACTCAAGGGTCCCGGGTTCGATTCCGGTCAAGGGCATGTACCTTGGTTGTGGGCACACCTCCAGTAGGGGGTGTGCAAGAGGCAGCTGGTCGATGATTCTCATCGATGTTTCTAACTCTCTATCCCTCTCTCTTCCTCTCTGTAAAAAAATATATTTTTTAAAAAAAGAAAGGTATAATAAATATCCAGTCAGATTCAAATTTAATAACCAACTAGATACACTGAAAGAAAGCAGGCCTACAGAATCATGGAAGTCAACTCTTTGGTTATCACAAAGTCAACACATAAACCTGTATGCACTTCTCATTTTAAACAGCAAGGGAAAGAAGCACACCTAGACTTCATTCAGTTATTATATCCTGAGAGATCTATATATCAAGCACAGCAATAATTCTTTTCAGCTCTATTATCTAACTTAATTTAAAGCTAAAACTATATCTCATTAAATGCAATCTAGCCTTTTAAAATCTAAAAAAAATGTATAATCATAAGTAGAAGTACAAGAATATTGAATAAAATTAACTTTCAAAAATCTTAATTGTGCTTATATACTTAATCCTAATTATTCTGAGAATCTATCCTAACTAAGAAAATGTCTAAAATGAAGATAGAGAAAAACTTTAGAAACAAGGTTGCTCTCTGAAACTTTTCTAACTACATTAAAGTACAAACTGTCTGAATGTTTAAGGGTATGGGGAATTTGAGTAAACTATAGTATATTACTTCATGGATATTATATAATAATTTAAAATAAGTTATTGCTTATATGAGTTCAGCAAATGTGGTATCAATTCTGAGGGGTCCACAATATAAAATCCTTTACTTGTCAAACGGATCCTCACCTCACACCCTGCATTCCCACATTCCTCTTCACAGTGTGTCTCGACCAGGCCACCCATGACATTTTGGCGAGGACAACTGTTTGTCCTACACATTGCAGAAAGTTTAGGATTCTTGGCTGCTTATTAAATCCAAGTAGTGCTTCCGAGGATCTGGCAGCGTTAGAACAGCTACCAACAAAAAGGACACTGTAGGAGCCGCACAGGGTATGATTTAAATAATGATGAATAAAAGGCCCTTGCCAAAACTGAAGAAAACCTCTGAAGTATTTTTGCAGAAATGAATCATTTTACAATCCTGCTGCAAAGTCAAATGTGAAATGAAGAATGGTGTATATATATATATATGGCTGATACATAATTTTACCAGAAAAATTCCATCAATATGCAGTTCAAAATCTGACTAATTCTTTTCTTTGAAAAAAATTAATGCAAAATTACAATTTAAATTTTGATACATATAAAATAGTTTTCATAATTTTTTTTATTATGTTCCTTCTTATATGTAACAAAACTCATACTGAGCAATGAGTTTGGGTTGCAAAAGAGGCTTTATTTTTAGCACTTGTATGTAGTGTTTTCATAATTTTAAATGCCCCTTTTTCAAGACAAAATCCCCATCAAAACTTTTTGTCACATTTACAATGTAAATTCTGGTATCGTTGAGAAGGGGATTCACTTTAAGTGGCATTTCTCCTTTATAAAATGAGAAATTTAAAGCTAAAACCTAGAAAGTTAAAACTCATATTTAGAAAGTTGTGACCTAAGACTTGGCATAGGCTTTGCCTCTGATTTTATGGGAAATTGACCCTTGTTTCAATTCAGGAATAGAAATCTGATTTCTAAAATGATAATTATAAAGAATATTAGTAATATTAAAATGTTTATAATATTGTTTTTAAAAACAAGATGCAGCCGAAATCGGTTTGGCTCAGTGGATAGAGTGTCGGTCTTCGGACTGAAGGGTCCTGGGTTCAGTTCCGGTCAAGGGCATGTACATTGGTTGCAGGCACATCCCTGGAGGGGTGTGTGCAGGAGGCAGCTGGTCGGTGTTTCTCTCTCATCGATGTTTCTAGCTCTCTGTCCCTCTCCCTTCCTCTCTGTAAAAAAATCAATAAAATATGTTTTTAAAAAAAAAACCAAGATGCAAAATTGTATATACATACATTATGATGATTATTTTTAACTGTAGGAAGGAAAAAGACTATCATTATTAATATGGGAATATTAATAACGATAGACAATGGCTTATTAACTCCCCTTTCCTTTTCCCACACTTTTATTCCTGTTTTCCATAAGCACATTTAATTTTACAATTTGAAAAAAAAAATTTTTAAATAGGAAAAGACTCTCATATGTGAATGGAATATGGATTTAAACAGTGGTAGTATAAAACAGAATATACTCTTTCTGGGCATTATACATCAAAATCCCTAAAAACAATTTGTCCTTTAAAGTCACAATTCCACTTTAGGAATTGTTCCCAAGGAAGCTTTGTGGCAAAGGTGACAAGAACCAAGGAGCCAAGAATCACAGTTGGGATTACGGTAGAATTTTTATTCTAAGTCTTTATTTTCTGATTTCTTCTGCAATTTACACGTTTTTAAAATTAGAAATAAAAGTAAAAATTGATTTAATTTTTAAAAAGTATTACTTAATAGAGAGCAAGCTCAAACAAGTTTCTACATAAGCCCAAGTCTACTGCTGTTTTCTGAGCATATGAAGTTTAGCAAATACATGATTACATGAAAAAACAAGTACATGTGTAAAATCTGCCATTCATCAACATCCTTTATTCAAAAGGAGAAAATTGCAAAAGGCAAACTAGGACTCTGGGTAGTAAGCCCCAACTCTTCTCTGAGAACTGATAAGGGAAGAATTAAACCAGCAGGTGGTTAGGAAGAGGCTCAGAGCCAAAATAGAAATTACAAATTCAGGCAGCTTATTTTAACACATGACCCAGATACTTAGCAGCTTTTGAACTGCATCAGGCCAGCAGGCTTGCACTGCAACACTCAGAATCAATCCAGCTATGTTGGTTTAACCTGTGATTTGCAGAATTCCAAGATGTTAAGACGGCTGGCAAAACATGCACTTCTTTCAAACGACTCTAGACACAACTACAACACATCTCTACAAACCTCGGATGAAAAAATTTAGGAGTGAAGAAGGAAACAGTTGACAGGACTTTTTTCTCTCTTTAAACAGAGTTCATATTTTCCCATTATACTTATGCTCCTTTTTATTTAACAAAATGAAGAAATTTTTTAAGTTATCCACATTTAAGCCATTTGAAAATGGTGCATTTCCTCCATTTTTGTGTGTATTGGTTCATTTTCACCTTTTTATATGGGTGCGAACTAATTGGAAGATTAAATTTATGTTATTTATTTAGCCCATTATCAGTACTTCTACATGTTATTACAAACTCTTCAAATACTTTATATTTGTCTCACAACATTCCAATGAGGAAATATTCTAAACCAATTCCTCACTGAACATTTAGGTAGCTTCTAATCTGTCACTAATATAAATAATGCCATGATGTATATCTATCTTTTTGAAAAAGCTTCTCTTGCAGTTTCAGTTCTTTCTTTAGAACATAGTTCTAGAGGTGAAATTACCAGGTTCCAAGGATATGAACAGTTAAAGTTCCTGATTCATTTGCCAAATTATTTCCCAAGAGCTGTAATCACGTGCCTCCACAGTAGCCATTGCTGGGTGTATTTTAGCATATGTCCTCTTGACTTAGGTATCTTTTAAAACTTTGCAAAATTGACAATAAAAATGTCTTATATTTTTTCTTCATCATTCTGTTAAAATTTTTTTCTGTATATTAAATTATGACTTTTTGTGTACATACTTTATAGTTTATCTATTCGCTGGAATTTTCACATATTTAAAGTAATTTGTACAAGTTCTTTATATGTAAATAAATTGATCTTTATTGGTATTTGTTGCAATTTTCCACCACGTTCTATCCCCATGCTAATAATCTCAATATACTTTTAATCTTTAATGTTATTTTGGATGGGGTGTTATCAGATATACAGGAATTTACGTATTTTATTGTAGTTAAATATATTGACTTTTTCCTTTATGATTCTTTCAACAATTTTAAGCTTAGAAAAGCCTAACATTCCACATGAGATTTTTATAAATATTTTCCTATATCTTTAATTATGGTTTAACTTTTTGATAAATAATTCTTTTTAAAAATATACTTTATTGATTTTTTTTACAGAGAGGAAGGGAGAGGGATAGAGTTAGAAACATTGATGAGAGAGAAACATCGTCAGCTGTCTCCTGCACACCCCCTGTTGGGAATGTGCCCGCAACCAATGTACATGCCCTTGACCGGAATCGAACCTGGGACCCTTCAGTCCGCAGGCCGATGCTCTATCCACTGAGCCAAACCGGTTTCAGCATGATAAATAATTCTTAAGTCCTTTGAGCAAATTTATTTTTCAATGTAAAGGAGAAGAGTCAGAGTCCTTGCTCCTTCATGTGCCCAAACCTAATCAATTTTCCTTGGAAATATTTATCCAATAAAAAAAGTATTGGATAATATTTCCCTTTCAATTGATTCATGATTCCTTTATCATATATAACTGAGGTATGTATGTAATGTAAGAACTATTCCTAGGCCACCTAGTCTGCTCTGCTGATTAGTCTGTTCTTACACTAATACCATACTATTTTAATTATCACTAGTGCCCTGGTGCACAGATCCGTGCACATTGAAAGGACATTAATCAGAAGGTGGCTGGAGAGGTGGGCTGGGTGGGAGGGGCAGGACACACCCTGGAGCCAGCCTCCCACAGTGCCTCCCTGGCCAGCTGTGCCTAGGGCAGCGCAGCAGCTCGAAGGGCGTCTGCGGAGGAGCAAGGTCCCTCCGGCAGACGAGGGCCCTGGGCCCGGCCTTCGGGGATCAGGCTGAAACGGGCTCTCCAACGTCCCTCAAGGGCTCCCGACTGAGAGAGAACAGTTCTCAGGTGATGCATCCCGGAACTGGGCTCCCTCCTCTCTGATTCCAGGGTGCGTCACCTGAAAACCACCACTGCCAAATCTCCGCAGCTCATCAGCTCCTGCACTGAGCATCCCCCCCCCGGCAGTCAGTGCATGTCATAGCTACCAGCAGGATGATCAGATGCTCACTTAGCCTTTTATATATAGAGATTATTTAATATCAGGTGGAGAAAGTCCTCTCCCATTACCTTTCTTCACAATAAAATTTCATAATACTTTAGGTCACATTTTCAAATATTTTCTATTGTTATTTACTTTAGCCAGAATTCTGCTAAGCATGCAAACTAATTTATCAAAAACTAATATCTTTATAATAGTCTTTTCATTCATTTTTTGAACAGTTCAGTTGAGAATCTATTTAGACTCCAAAAGGATAAGATCCTTTTTGGACTTGCATAACTCTGGCATTAGAAGTATCACATCAATTTCTTTAATTATAAACTATTATACAGCGAATAGAGAAAGGCATGGTAGTCCAAGATATGCCCCTGGTGAGCTGTGTGGACAGGAACCATTTCTTTGGCCATCTCTAAACTTGTTTCCTCACCAGCTAACGAGATGGAATATCAGAAACCATGGGAAATAGAAAATATGAAAATACATTGAGCCAAAACCGGTTTGGCTCAGTGGATAGAACATCAGCCTGTAGACTGAAAGGTCCCAGGTTCGATTCCGGGTATGTAGATTGGTTGCAGGCACATCCCCAGAGGAAGGTGTGCAGGAGGCAGCTGATTGATGTTTCTCTCTCATCGATGTTTCTAGCTCTCTGTCCCTCTTCCTTCCTCTCTGTAAAAAACAATAAAATTTAAAAAAAAAAAAAAAAAAAAAAAGAAAGCAAAGAAAATACATTGACAAGCATGGAGTACTATACAAACATGGGTGTTTAATATTAATACCAAAGGCAAAAAGTATTACCTTTGATGAGTAGTGGGCCAATCAATCTACTAAAAAAAGAAAACTCATGTTAAAACTTGGTACTTGCCTTTTCCCAGGATAAAGAACCGCACAGTCATGTTGACAAACATCCATGAGAATCCCAAGAATTGCACAAGATTATACATGAACAGGTATCCTTTCTTCATGTTTATAAGAGCTGAAAAGCACAGCAATGCAGTAAACTGTTACAAGCAGCACAGCAAGAGAGGGTATGTAGAGCATCCTATTATAACTTCATCCCTCATTCCTATTTGGGTGCTCTAAGCTCCCACACAAATACCTAGCCCCGGTCTGTACCAGCCTGGCTTCTGGTCCCATAAACAAACAGAAAGAAAAAATATGAGGAACACTGCACTCAAAGGTATGTTTTCAGCAGTCTTTCCCCTCAGAACCTTGAAGGGTAAGTATACTAGTACAGACATAACAAATCAAAGAAGAGAATATATCTTAGGAGGTATTAAAGTATGGGAGGAAAGCTATACTCAGCTCCTATTCTTGTTATCTACACTAATAAAAGAGAAATATGTAAATTGACTGTCACTTCACAACGTCCACCAGCCAATGCAAATTAGTGGGACAAAGGTGGTGGTGGCCACAGAGCCAGCCAGAGAAGGCGGGAGGCTTGGATCACCCCTGGCAAAGGAGGAAGCCAAGCTTCCCGCCTGCCTGGGCCAGCTGATGAAGGAGGGTCCTGTGGGCTGCCAGGGGCAACCCAAGCTTCACGCCTGCGCTGGCTGGATGCCAAAAGTGGGACCTGTGGGTGGCAGCCATGGAGCCGGCCTGAGCACCAAAGGCTTGGGTAGCCTGAGCCGGCTATCAAGGGAGGAGCCTGCAAACAGCCCTTAGCCCCTCACCCAGGCTGGCCATGCTCCCATGGGGTGAGGGTCCCTGCTGGAGGGCACGGCCAGCCTAAAAACAGCCCTCAGCCCCTTACCCAGGCTGGCCACACCCCCAGTGGGGAGCCCCACCCTAATGGGGGCATAACTGGCCTACAAACCACCACAGGCTTCATATCCAGGCCACCCTGCCCCCCAAAAGAACCCCACCCTGATCCGGGACACCCTTCAGGGCAAACCAGCTGACCCCCCCTCCCCCGCACCATGCCTCTATTTATGCTAATAAAAGGGTAATATGATAATTAAACTGGGAGACCTTCCGGACATTCTTATGGGCAAAGCCCTGGTGGCAGGGCCAAGGTAGAGGTGCGGTTAAGGGCCAACAGGGGAGGGCAGTTGTGGGTGATCAGGCCAGGATGGGACAGCAGTTGTGAGTGATCAGGCCGTTGGGGGTGATCAGGCCAACAGGGGGGCAGTTTGGGGTGAGCAGGCCAGCAGGCAGGGAGGGCAGGTGGTGGCAAGCAGGCCGGCAGGGGGGAGCAGTTGGAAGCAAGCAGGCTGGCAGGAGGGACAGTTGGGGGTGAGCAGGCTGGTGGGGGCGCAGTTAGGGATGAGAAGGCTGGCAGGCAGAATGGTTAGGAACAATCAGGCAGGCAGGCAGGATAGCAGTTAGGAGCCAGCAGTTCTGGATTTTGAGAGGGATCCCAGATTGGAGTGGGTGCAGGCTGGGCTGAGGCACACACATACCCCTACCCCCAGGCCACTAGTCTTAACCTGTTAACAGAGCAGGACCTATAAATACGTCAAACGTAAACCCTATTGGGAAAGGGTAGGACATATGAATATGTCCTTGAAATATATGTTAGGCCCTGAGAGGGATGGTATATATTTTTTGTAATCTTTATAATTGTTTGTAAAATTTATAATTTTTTAATTCAATGTTTCCATTTTTTTGTTGGTATTCTTTTCTATTTGTTTGTAATTTTGTATTTTCCTTTGTGCTTTATATATAAGTAAACGAAAAATATATATATTTTTTATTTTAATTAAGTATAAATAAATAAAATAATAATATAAAATTATGTCCACTGGGCGTGACATACTGACACGTCCTAGTGAAAGAGTATGCGCCCATTGTACGTTGCGTAATTAAAAAGGGAACTCCCCGGTTAACAGGTTAATATAATCTACAGTTACTTCTTTTCTGGAATTTTTTAAGGTCATTGGGGATCAAACTACTGTGTTTCCCCAAAAATAAGACATCCTCCGAAAATAAGACCTAGCGCATGGAAAGATAAGACATCCCCTGAAAATAAGACCTAACGCAACTTTGGGAGAAAAAATTAATATAAGACACTGTCTTATTTTCAGGGAAACAGGGTAGCTCAAAGAGAGATAATGAATAATAAAAAAAAAATTCTGATATTTGATCATATATTCATTCAACTAAGCATTAACTGAACACCTACAATGTCCAAGGTATGGAGGGGCACTATTGGGATTCAAAGAACTTACAGCCTAAAACCATAATACAAGATAGAATGACAGGTAACATCTTGTGAAAATTTCAAGGTGAGAAAATTACATTAGGCTGGGAAGTGGGAATCAAGCAAGTATTTGATCTGGGCTTTGAAGGATGGGTAGAAGAAGGATATAACCAAAGGAGGAAAATTACAATCTGAGAGGCAAGAGAATAGGGTCATTAATTTTGTCTGCAGCCTAAGGTTTGTGAAACAGCTAATTACAGACTTAAGGAAGGAGTGAGAAACTTAGGGTCATGGTTGAGTCAAAGGAGTAGGTAAAGGAAAGGCTTCTCAAGAGAAGAGCTATGGAGTGCAGGTTCTGCTGCCACAGATTTATTCCTAGACTACAGACATTCTGCATTTACGCTTGGAAGTTGCTCCAAGCAAAAGCAACCTTATTCTAAGAGGCAAAAAAAGCTAGATAAATTAAATTTTTTTCTTCAAAACTATAGAATTTATTAAACTTCCCAATCATAAATAACTTCCTTCATTAGAAACCTTTATGAATTTAGAAAACTGTTAAAAGGTTTTTTTTGTTTGTTTTTTTTGTTAATATATTTTATTGCTTTTGTACCGAGAGGAAGGGAGAGAGATAAAGTTAGAAACATCGATGATGAGAGTCATCGATCAGCTGTCTCTTGCACACCCCCTACTGGGGATATGCCCGCAACCAAGGTACATGCCCTTGACCAGAATCGAAACTGGGACCTTTCAGTCCCCAAGCCAACGCTCTATCCATTGAGCCAAACCAGTTTCGGCAAAACTGTTAAAAGTTTTATCTGACATCCTAAAAATCAATATATAAGTATTTTCATATATTTTTGAAGTTTATCCCTCTAAACACAAAAAATTAATTTAAATCTCTGGTGTCCTTTTATGTTACTATTCTTTACCTCCACTAACTGTCTCCCTTCCTTTGCTTCTCTAAGGGAATATTTCTCTAAATTGTAGTTATTCAAATCTTTTTTTTTTTTAGAGCAACAAAATCTTCTTTTCAAGAAAAACTTTATTAACAATACCATGAAACACAAAAGCACAGTTGCTTTGACTAAAGTAGAAGTGCTTGGTTGGCCTATCCCTCCAAAGCATCTCTGGGAACCCTTGGGGTACCATGGAAAATAGTTTGAAAACCACGGCTCTACAACTTTCCACTCCCTTATTTATGGCATGCCAAATATGCACCACTAAAACGTGAATAAGTGAAATGAGGAACTCTTAAATTATTTGTTTTTTTAGCATTACTTTTAACTTGTAGACTTTCATAGTCCTTCTTCTAGAATGCAAGCTCTTAGAACACAGGTGCTATGATGAATTCATTGACTCTACACCTCAAGGGACTACTAGTATAATGCTTTCAGTGCCACAAGAATTTAAGATTGCTGCTGAATTTAATCTATGTCACCTAGAAGATAATACACTTACAGAACTTATTGCTTATAAGTGGTTGGACAGACAGAAATAGAGATGGATTTTTTCCAAGGTTGATAACCACACTTATCTGTAGCACAGCCCTTAAGATCTCAGTTGGGAGAAAAACACCAGATTGGAAGGAGTGTAGCCTTGGACCTCCATCACATTTCCACATGTCCATGCAGTACATGCTGCCATCTGACATTAGGCCAGTCCAAGAGACTAAGGTTCTTCCATACTATATGCCAGATGATGATAAGCTCCAAATAAAAGAGAAACATTATCCAACCAGTGTGGCTCACTGGTTGAGCATCAATCTATGAACCAGGAGGTCAAGGTTCAATTCCCATGCTGAGTTGTGGGCTTGATTCCTAGTGTGGGGCATACAGGAGGCAGCCGATCAATGATTCTCTCTCATCACTGAGGTTTCTATCTCTCTCTCTGCTTCTCCTTTTCTCTCTGAAATCAATAAAAACATTTTTTAAAGGGAAACATTAAAAGTAAGGCTTCTAATGTGGATGTGCAAGTGTAAGCACTGGACATTAAGGACTGCTCATCCACTCACATACACAATATTAGCTCTCCTACATCACACTCATCATTACCCCCATCTCTATCACAAATTAAATGGTAACTACCATAGCAGCAGGGCAACTTACTTTCAACGGAGCCTTCGCTTTCCATTCTGAGTTTATTTAGGCGTTCTTCTTCCTAGAATTTGGACAGAAGTTTTTCAAAAAGAAAAGTTAGAATGCCCAGATGCTTGCAAAAGTCCACATGTTGGATAAGTGATCTGACTCCCTGAAAGCCTCTTCCAATTGTGCTCATACTTCATTGGGGAAAATGTCCTGGCTCAGGGTGCTAAAAAGCCTGACTCCTCCTCCTCACTGAGTAGCATTAACATCACAGAATGCCCATCCAGTACTCACAGAACTGAACCAGTCAGCTGGCTTCTAAACTATAAAGTGGGTAGTCTTGACATCTCAGAGCCAGAGACACATTCAGATTTGTCATGGTCATAGAAACAAACAAATTTAAGGCAGAAAATATATTGCTATTTTATTTTTAACACCTCTAGATTTTTAGTATAATTTTTCCAGAATCTAAAACCATGTCTCCACATCACTATGAACTAATATGTGGTTACATATAGACATATTTATATGTTGTTCAGTCAGCTGAGAGGACCTAGAAGCGATGATATCCCAGCAGCAACAAGCATACAAAACCCAGATGTTGGTTTCCATTACCATTCTCCTCTAAAAAGAACAGAGCTCCTTGAAGAATGGTTGATTCTAGGGCTGAGCAGGGAACATACAAGATAAGCCAAGAGCAGCTTCCAGTGCCAGAAATTACAGAAGTGCACACAAAAAAAGCAAAGAAGAAAGCCCCATAATGAAGTGAGGGAGCTATGAGCTTTGTCAAAAGGACACAAGAGCCAATGAATTTAGATAAAGAATGAATAAAAAAAATTCTGATATTTGATCATATATAGAGTTCTATTGACCAAACCTGAAACAATCTGAGCAACAAAATAACACAGTACTGAATTATAACTCAAACTATAAAATAAATATTAATGAATCTACTGATATTTTTTAATGACTGAATAAATTAGTGGGAGAGAATAATCTCCAATGAAGAATAATTTCAAATAAAATATGTAGATACTCCACCCTGAAGATGGGAAGTACGACTCCCCAATCCTTAAGTGTGAGCTATGCATAGTAACTACCTTCTGAAGAGTACAGTACGGAAAAGGGAGGAAGTAACATTACCTCAACCACATGAGCAAGATCAATATCAATAGGAATAAGTCATATTGATAGTATGTACCCATGGCATGATAAGAATAAAATCTATGTGGTCTTCCTCCCTAAAACCAATCATGAAAAACACACTAAGCACACCCACTGAGGAACAGTCTACAAAACATGACCAGTACTTCTATAAAACCATGTCTCCAGGTGGTTAACTTAATGTCTAAGTTCGTATTTATTCTATCAGACCATGATAAGTATCTGAGGGAGCCCAAATAACTTGGTCTCCTCATGATTTCTGTCTAGGTCGTAGGGTCCTTACTGACCTTGGCTCGGAGCTCCATTTCCGCATCAGACTCGTCCAGCCAGCGATCAAAGTCAGGGGCCAAAAACAGCGGGCGCTTCTCCTGCTTGGTGAGTCTCTCCCACCACTGGCTCACCTTCTTCTGTACCGTAATGTTTACCTGCCTCTGGGTCAGTTTGTAAACCGGCTAAGAGAGAAAATAAGAACGTGAGAATGCTCTCTCCTTCCTATCCCTCTTTTCTTCCTCTTAAACTGCCCCAAGCCAGTGTGACTATACAGAGACAACAAAGAATGGGCTTCTTCCCCTTCCTTCTCTGTTCCTACACATCCTGATGCAAAGGGAACATCTAGACCATGAGCTAGTATAGGGAAAATCTGGTAAGAACAGCCCTTTCTGTATGATGCACCCAATGAATGACTCAGGAGAAAATCAGGATAAAAAAGGGAGAGAGTTCCTGGGCACCGATATACTAAAGAAACTAAATGAAACTCCTGCCGGATCTACATCATGCAAGGCACTACATCCAATCACTCTTTCAAGTGCATCCCCACCTTCCAAATTTTCCTCCTATGACGATGGTCCTGGCATAGAGAGTCCTTATTTTAGAAAGGTCTAATCGAGGCTAGAACTGTACTGGATCAGATACAACTTTTTCACATGGGTCAGCGTAGGGAGTCTTCCCAACTAAACTCAAGTTCTTTTTTTTAAAATTTGATTTTCTTACAAATATTTCAATATTTATAGTTATCCAAGTTTTTTTTTAAATATATTTTTAAAATTGACTTTTTACAGAGAGGAAGGGAGAGGGATAGAGAGTTAGAAATATCAATGAGAGAGAAACATCGACCAGCTGCCTCCTGAATAACCCCTTCCGGGGATGTGCCTGCAACCACGGTACATGCCCTTGACCGGAATCGAACCTGGGACCCCTCAGTCCACAGACCGATGCTCTATCTACTGAGCCAAACTGGTTTCGGCTAAATTCAAATTCTTAGTGGCTGTTGCAGTTCATTATTCTACATGTCTTCCCCTTTTGCCTCCAAAGCAAGACCCATGACAAGTTCTCCACTCCTTATATCACTGCTGTCTATTAAAACAACCAAAGCAACAGAAACTCCTGCAGACAGAGAGCAATATGCTCAAACCCTAATAGATAAGAGTGTAATTCCAGAAACTGAAATACACCATGTTCTGGATTCCCTCCCTTCCAGTTACAGAAGCTTCCTCAAGCTCTGAGAGAAGGGAAACTTCAATATACTTTCCACATTCTTTCTAAAGATCAATTGCCTCAGCATTTTCTGATTTCTACTGCCCCTCAGGCAAAGTCACAGGAAAGGAGCGCCTGTGTGGGCTTCCCTGCCCTCCGTAACTGCTCTCTGTGGGTACCATACTCCTCCTCTGTCATCTTAAAAAACAGAATATCAGAGCTGGAAAACACCAGATTGGATAAGAGATCACTATCCAAGTCTTCATTTAACACATAAGGAAATAGGAACTCAAAAAAGTGAAAGGACTTGTTCAACCACTAATAAGCGGCAGAGCCAGAATCACCTCAGGTTCTCCGACTTCCACATTCCTCTGCAGCTAAAACTATATTCTCCTTTCGTTTTATCTTCTTTCCCACAACCGTTCCTCCCCATTTCACTGAATTACTAGTATTTATTTCCTAAAATAGAAAGGAAGGCCCTAACTGGTTTGGCTCAGTGGATAAAGCTGAAGGGCCCCAGGTTCCATTCCGGTCAAGGGCATGTACCTCGGTTGTGGGCACATCCCCAGTGAGGGGTGTGCTGGAGGTATTTCTCTCTCATCGATATTTCTAACTCTTTATTCCTCTCCCTTCCTCTCTGCAAAAAGTCAATAAAATATATTTTTTTTAAATAAAGAAAAAGAAAGGGAAGAACATACCTCTGGCTTCACAGGGTCCAAGAACTCCAGGTGAAATTCATAGACATTATCTCCTTTGGCACCATGTCCTTGAGCTATAAAGAAAGAAATGTGGGTACTGTGAACTTGAGCAGAGTAAGGCCATCCAAAAACTTAATGCAGTTCTTTCAGAAGTATACAAATGTCAATGGGTCCTGCCAAAGCAAGTCGGGGCATGTGAGAAGAGCTACTCAACAGCTAGATAATAAGCTGAATCCTGGACAGTTTATTCCCATATGTCCTTCTGATGGTCAGTTCCAGAGTAGTTAATCTTCCAACACGGCCCTCACGATGCCCAGTACAAATAATAGGCAGAGAAAAGATTACAGAAAGCAAAGCCAAAGCTATCACATAGACATAAGTTTAACTCTCACATGCACTTTGGCGCTGACTCCAGAGCAGAGAAAAATCAGGTTAAGGAAAGCCGCTGGGTACATGGAAATGCTGGACTGCCTCAGAGAAAGCTCTGAACCTAATACTTTTCAACCAGGGGTAGAAAATGGAGAAGCTGCCTTTCCTATGGCACATCCCAAATGGAACAAAAAAGAGAAAAATCATTCTCTCAGCTCAGTCCGAGAGGACAAAGGGCACTGGCAGGAAAGCCTGGGCTGACCTGGGCCTTGACATGCTCCTCTCCCCGATCCAGCCACGCCTCCGTGCCAGGGCTGCTGCACATCACTTCCCTCTCACTCTCCGATTTGTGTATCAATTCGGTTCCATTTCTTCATCCGGCCCTATGTAGCATAACCTGCCTAATATTTGCTACAGGTAGCTAATGTTCCCTAAAACCATAAATTCCTTAAGATAGGACAGTCTATAAGCTCCAAGAGGCAAGACCCACTTTTATCATTTTAACTTCCATTCAAATGTTAACTCCTAAAATAAACCGGAGCTGCTGCCCCCACTGCTCTCATCTTGAGAACTAGATACAAAAGTCAGGCTGTGATTCATGCAGGCATATTAGGGCAGACGGAATCTCGTGTAAAGCAGAACCTCTTCCCTGTCCCATAACCCTAGTCCCTTACTAATGACATTCCAAGGAGCTAGCACAGAAAGCAATTAGGGAGAATTCCACCCCATGGGGGGACAGTAACTCCGGACCTACATGGGAGGCCCAGGTGATGAACGGAGGAGAAAGAAGATGGAGGCAGATTCCCAGAACAGAGACCGTGGAGCTAGAAAAGCTTTAGGATAAATATTTATTAAGCTGGTCGGTAAGTGTAATATCAGGGAGCCACAGAGCCTCATTAAGAAAATTTCTATTTTTTTGTTTTGTTTCATTATAATCTTAAAAAATAAAAATAAAAGGTCATCTTGATGATTACCTTATAGTGATCACAAGTTCAGGGGCTGTGTTCACAGCTACAATGAAGCCATATATCACTTAAAGGGACCATACATAACTCCTGACATGTTTTTCAATCTGGGTCTATGGCCTTGGAGGATGCTGAGGACATATTCTCAGATGCTGTGGGTCCTCAAGTTTGAGAAACACAACTTATAACCCAATATCCCATTTTATAGGCCCAGAGGAGTCAATAGTTGTCTCAGGTAGCAGCAGAATTAATTTCCGTATTTCTAGCCCATGCTTTTTTTTTTTTTCCCCTTGCTTGCTTGCTTTTTTTTTTTTTTTTCCGCTCAAGGGGAAAGCAGGAATATAAACAAATTATTTGACTTTCTTAATCAAGTATTTCAAAACAACCTAGCTTACCTCAAGAGTATCAGAGAAAGTGGATAGAAAGTGAATAAAACAAATAGATAAAAATAAAAAAGAAACCACCTCTACACCAGTGTTTAGAGAGCTAGGAGCATTTGCCCGAATACTGACCTTTGAAATGCAGTACATTTTCAGCGATGCTGATGGCAGGATTCTGTGAAGAGACCAAGGATGCGAGAAGGCATTTTAATGAAGAGGAAAATGGAATTAAAGCCCTCATTCCCCCTTAGGGACTCAACCTCCTACCCTGTGCCTCCTCCAGAGAATATATTTAGTTGTTTATTCTCATATCTGCATAGGGCTTCTCTATGTCTAGCTGTACCCATCTGAGATTGTAGACTCCTGCAAGAAGGACCTACCTAGGCAGAACAATCCAATACTGAGCCAGTCCATTCTGATGACTGCAAATAGTGCAAGGTGCTACCTGAGGTGTTATGGGGGAATACCCAAATCTCTAAGACTCTGTCCCTGAGCGGTGGAGGCAGAACATCTAATGGAACAGATGAGTCATTTCCTTTGAGAAGATATCAAAGAGTATCAAATAACATACGCTCAAACCCAAAATAGTAGTAAAAGCAGTAATTGTACAGTTAAGTCAGCAAGCACAATGGGAACAGAATGGTTGGGGAAAGCTTCACCAAATTTAAGGCCTGCGTCGTAACATGAAGAATAAATTAATTCAGTAAGTGATGGATTAAGAGTGGTTGGATGAAAATGAAACATGCAGTGCCTTAACCTGAGGCTCCACGTTCTCTTAACCCCCACCCCAAGGAAGACTAGAAGAGAGCAGAGATGAAAATTCTCCAAATTGTTCCTTTATTTCCAGAGACTGCTATATGCCTTTAGCAGCATGATTTAAAATGAAACTATTCAACACTTTCCCCGGTAAATGAAAAACAACTCACCTCCTACCTCTCGGCTCAAAGTTAATAAGGAAGCAGCATGTTCACAGAGCCCTAACTAGTTTATTCATTTTCCTCCTGTAGGCTCAGCTCTTTTGCTCCATCATGCATCAAAGGAAACCAACAAGACAGACAGAAGGTTTTGAGAGGCAGTGGGAGCCTAGATGCTCTATTCATAGCCAAGAATGTTAGGAAAAGGGGAATAAGGAAAGCTTGGGGTGGGGACAGCATTTGAGCCAAATTTTATATAAAGAACCTCCCCAGTGGGAGTATAGATTTCAGGCTGAGATGCTCAATCAAAGAGGATAACAATCAAGATGATCTCTGTGGCAGGAAGAGTGAGTTTAATTTAAAAATTAAGGGGGGTGAAGAGATCCTAAGCCACAGCAACCTAATCCTTTCTGAAGGACCCACAGAGAGATGATAACGGTTTTAAACCACTACATTTTGGGGTGATTTGTTATGCAGCAATAGGTAACTAATAAAACTAGAATTATGTCTATAAATGTTTGATAGAACTCAATGGTGAAGCCACTCAAATCTGGAAATTTCCTTATGGGAAGATTTCTGAATGCTGATTTATTTGATGGTTATTGTGCTATTTAGGTTTCTATCTCTTTGATAGAAACTGTCTTTACTTTTGAAGAATTTATTCCATTTTACCTGACAAATTCAATATTCTCTTTGCTTTTTTTAAATTCCTGTAGCATCTATGTATAGTTAAGCCTTTTTCATTATTACTACCATCTTTATCTTAATCTTATCAAGAGATCTCTCCATTTTAATTGTCTTTTCAAGAACTTTTTAAAAAATATTTTTATTTTCATTGATTTCAGAGAGGAAGGGAAAGGGGGAGAGAAAAATACTAATGATGAACCATTAATCGACCACCTTCTACACGCCCCCTGCTGGGGATCAAATCCAAAACCTGGGCATGTGCCCTTGACTGGAATCGAACCCGCGACCCTTCAGTCCACAGGCTGATGCTCTATCCACTGAGCCAAACCAGCCAGGGCTCAAGAACTTATAGCTTTATTGATTCTCCCTATCTCTGCTTTCTATTTCTATTCTTTATTTCCTTCTTCAACTTTGAGAGAATTTGCTATTTTTTTTCTAACTTCTTAAAATGGACTCATAATTTTCAGACTTCATTATTTTATTTTAATTAATACTTTAAATATAAAATTTAGAAATATAAATTTTCTACTAACTCCTATTTTGGTAGCATCTCTCAAGCTCTGAATATATTATTTTCATTATCATACTTTAAAATATTTCCTAATTTACATTATAATTTTCCCCCTTATAACATGGGTTACTGAGAAGTGTTTCTTAATTACAAAACACAAGACACCTTCTACTTATTAATTTCTACCTCAGTTACACTGTGATCAGAGAACATTCTCTGTATGATTTTAATCATTTCAAATTTATGGAGACTTGCTTGAGGAAGCAGTATCTAGTCAAATTTTATAAATGGCCTAAGTAAACTTGAAAATTATCAGATGCAGTATTATGTGTATATATATATATATGTGTATATATATATATATATATATATATTCATTAGGTTTACTGTTAGGTTTACTGTTAATTAATTTTCACATTTATCTATCTTTTTGGAATTTTGTCTTCTAGCAATTAGTGAAAAATTATGGTATTTTAAAAATATATTTTTATTATTTTCAGAGAGGAAGGGAGAGGGAAAGACAGAAACATCAATGATGGGAGAGAATCATTGACCAGATACCCTCTGCATACCCCACACTGGGGATAGAGCCCACAACCTGAGCATGTACCCTGACCAGGAATCAAACGGTGACCTGCTGGTTCACATAGGTCAATGCTCAACCACTGAGCCACACAGGCCAGACTGAAAAATCACAATATTTTAAACTTGTCTATTTCTCCTTATACCTGCTAATTTCCATATTATAAAGGCCATGGTACTCATTATATAAAAGTTTAATATTGTTATATCTTCCTGGTGAACTGAAACCTCTATCATGAACTGACCTCTTTATTTCTAAAAATATATTTGACCTAAAACTCTTATCTGATATCAACATAGCTACACCACAAAGATCTGCTTCTGCCAGCCACCTATCAGTTTAGACCACTTTAAACTAAATTCATGGCTTGAGGGTTATTAGATCTCAAAAATTCTGTAAATCTGGGCTGCATAATCTTTTGAGAGCCAACTAACAGTTTTAAGTCCACAAGGACCTTTTCCTCTACTCTGTTCAGGGCCAAAGAATGTCGGGATAGGAAGATGGGGTGTGTTTACCTCCAGTTCATCCTTCCTCTACAATGTGCAGTCCTTTGACATTGAGTTAATGGGGAGAATGGTTTCCTATTACATATTGCATCTCTGGTGAGATTTGATCTTACTTCTATCCCAGTATTCTGTCAGGCTGTCAAAACCAAAGTTCAAGTTCATGCAGTTGAGCAAATGTTCTCAAGGCAAAAGCAATTTCAGACTTCAGCTTACCCTCTAAGTTCCCACTTTATTTCCTAACTTGTTGAATCTTTTATGATTTTAAGATTTATATTGAACACTTACATTGAAACTTTCTATTTTTAGCAGAAAGATTGATCTGCTCAATTTAGCCCATCTTTACCAGAGGTGGAATTGTGCCTTTGCTTATGAAAAAAAAAAATGAATGAATGAATAAGGAAAAGGGTGCAGGTGGCTTTGAAGTCAAATAGACCCGGGTACAAATCCTAGTCATATCATACTTATTTCTATCATTCACTTTCAAATCCACAGCAGCTGTCATCATTTAAAAAAACAACAATAAAATCCCTTATTTCACAAGATTGTTGTGAGAACTACAATAATCTACAAAGAGTCTGGCATCTAGTAAGCACTCATATTACAAATGCTTTTCTTCCTCTGACTAGAATGGTCTTCTAAGCTTCCAAATCTATTCATCTTGAAAAGTCCAGGTCAAATGTTAATTCCTTTTCCTATCTACTCACTTCCAACATCATTAGCTTCCTTACTACCCCTTCTTCACCTTTATTATAATACCTACCACACTGTTCTGTAATTATTGTTTATTGGTTTATCTGCCTCTCTAGAATTGAGTTCCCTAATAGCAGGCACTGTGTCTTATTAATCTCTGAATCCATAATGCCTCAATAACTAATAAATTGAAATCAAATCAATTTTCCCCTTTTCATAATTTTTAACAGAACTACAAATTCAATGAATTATCTGCCACCTAACTCTTTAGAAAATAGTCTCCTTTTTGGTTTAAATTGTTGGCATTTACCTTTGCCGTATGTATGATTAATACATGCGCAGAAAAGAGTTAAGTAATAAGCATGAGGCTCACATGAACTCCCAGGTACCTAGCACTGTGTCTGGACCATTGTGGGTGCTCAACAGTTAACAAATTATTTCATTACTTTACTGCTTTATGTGTGTTTTTATACTGTGTTTCTGAACAGCTCAGACTTATTTAACCTTTATTATGAAATATTTCAAGCAATCAGTATACACAGAAAAATACAGCAATCACCATTTTAGCTATCAGATCTACCTAATACACAGACACAAACCCAAACAGGCAGCCAAAATGGGAGACAAAAAAACAAGCCTCAAATGAAAGAACAAAAGAATTTTCCAGAAGATCTAAATGAAAACGACATAAAAAATTCATCAGACATAGAGTTCATAATAATGATGGCAAGGATGCTCATCCATTAGCATTTTGGTTTACTTCCATCAGCTTTTTTTTTTCTTTCAAAGAAATAAAGTAGATATGGGTACAGTTATACAATTACTCAATCCCACCATCTTCTCCCTCTCAAACACATCCCATCCTTACAGGTAACCACTATTCCAGAATTGGAGCTTATCATTCCCATTGTATTTCTTCTTCTTCTTTTTTATGTTTTTGTTGATTTTAGAAAGAGAGAAAGGGAGAGGGAGACAAAGAGAGAAATATTGATTGGTTGCCACCCATACACACCCAGACCAGGAACCACACCGTGCAACCTGGGCACGTGTCCCGACCTGAATGGGTGCCCAGGACAATGAGCTGAGCCACAGCAGCCAGGGCACCCTCTGTATTTCTTTACTTACTTATAACATGTTGGATATTTATCATTAAACAAAGTATTATTTACATGTTACATAAATGGTTTCATACCGTCTATATAATTCTTGAACTTGCTTTTCAGTTTATATTTCTAAACTCTATCTTCATTGATATGGGCAGTTCTGTTACATTTATTTTATTAATAGTTATTGTACAGTGTGCCATTGTATAAACACATCACAATCTATCCATTCTTCTGTTGATAAGAATTAAGATTGTTTTAATGTTATTTATTTACATATTTATTGCTGCAATGAACAAGCTGTCTCCTTGTGCACGAAAGGAAGAGTATCTCCAAGGAGCAAAACTTCCAGGGCATAAGATTATGCACATCTTCAGCTTGACTAGACAGTGCCAAACTGTTCTCCAAACCAATTGTACCAATTAATACTCCCACACACTGGGTAAGAATGTCCCACAGTTGAACATCTTTGCCAACAGTTGATAATGTTGGACTTTTCATTTTCAGAACTTAATGTGAGAAATAAATGACCTATCGTTTTAACTTAAATGTCCCTGATTATAAGTGAGGTCAAGTATCTTTTCAGTTTTATTGGCCATTCTTGTTTCCTTTTACTCTGAACTGCTTTTATTATCTACCCCTTTTTCCACTGAAGGGTAATATGCCTTTTTTCTTATTGATCTGTAGGTGGTTCTTTATATATTCAAGATGCTAGTTATCTGTCAGTGATATGTGCCACAATGTCTGCTTCAAGTTTGTCTTACATTTGTCAATCTTTTTCTTAAGGGTTATGTTTTCTGTGTCTAGATTGATGCATTCATCCCTGATTCAATACCATATACTCTTCTATATTTTCTTTTAGTTTTGTTTTATGAATTTGTGTTATTAACCCACCTAGAATTGTATGCAGGTAAGATCTTATTTTACCTTTTTTGCTATTTGGAGACCAATTGTCCCAATACAATTTCCTGAATGGCTCATCCTTTCCCATATTATTTGTAAAGCCAGACTGTTGTACACTAAGTTTTCATTTTAAAAAATATATTTTATTGATTTTTTTTACAGAGAGGAAGGGAGAGGGATAGAGAGCTAGAAACATCGATCAGCTGCCTCCCACACCCCCACACACACACCACCACCACCACCACCACCACCACCACCACCCCCCCGGGGATGCACCCGCAAATAATGTGAATGCCCTTGACCAGACTCAAACCTGGGACCTTTCAGTCCGGAGAACAACACTCTATCCACTGAGCCAAACCGGTTTCGGCAAGTTTTCTTACATGAATAAATTTTCCAATAGACTCTATTCCATTCTACTGCTCTCATCTAAGGTTTATTATCAAAATAATAAGCCCTTACACTTGAAAAGCGCACTAGAATTCACAAAGCACTTTCAAATCTAATATCCAATTCAAACCGCAAACAATCCTGTGAATTAGGTGTTATTATTCATTTTGAGGCCAAGGCTCGCAAAAGTTAAGTGAATTATCCATGGCTACCAGATAGCAAGTCCACAAGCAAGGACCCAGTCTCTCACCTTCAGTTATCACTCTTTCCACCAGACTCTATTGGGCAAGGACAAGAACTATATCTTTCAACAGCTCCCAAACAGAGTTATGCACTTTGTTCACACACAACTAAAACAAACAAAAGCCTTAATAACTGAACAACAGCTTTAACAACTAAGGCTGTTGACACAAATCTGTCCATTAGGCTTATCTTGAAAATAAAGTCTTTTCTGAAAATAACCCTGTACTGGCCCCAACAGATTCCTTCCTAGCTAGCTTCTTTGCTACAGCTCACCTCAAACAGACAATGCTGCTGTTGAAGTTTTTATTGCACACCATTCCTCCTCTCATCAGTAGTTTCTCATCAGCCACTAACCCTGCATCTCCAAACACAGAATTGAGACATGAGTTTTTATAAGTTGCATTTTTAAACAAATTGATCTGTCTTTTAAAACAACAACAAACAAAAAAAACCTGATAGTACTCTCTCTCAGGAGAGGCGAGCAAAACTGCTGCTCCCAATTGGAATTCAACACTGAAATTCACACATAAACTATGGGGCATGCTAGAGAGAGCAGGGGGCGACAGAGAGATGTCTAACAAGCCCGCACCTAGATTATGTAAGGATACTCCACTAATGGTTTTCATTGAACAAATAAATGAATTGCTTCATCCAGAGCCAGAATCACCAGTTTCACAGGCCCTACATAGAACAATGAATTAAGAAATAAAAATAAATAAATAGCCCTAGCTGGTTTTGCTCAATGCATAGAGCTTTGGGCTGCAGACTAAAGGGTCTGTGGTCCGGAGTTCGATTCTGGTCAAGAGCACATGCTTGGGTTTCTGGCTCAATCCCCAGTAGGGAGAGTGCAGGAGGCAGCCAATCTATGATTCTCTCTCATCACTGATGTTTCAACCTCTGTCTTCCTCTCCCTTCCTCTCTGAAATCAATAAAAATATATTTAATAAATAAATAAAATAAAATAAAAAGCAGCCCCTGATATTCAGAAGTTGGCTTGGCATGCACAGTTAAGGCATGTTATTCCCCTACTGGACATAAACACAGACAACATGGCTGATCACAGAATACCAACCTCAGACAAAGTTATTCTGAAACCTTGATTTTTGTCTGCGTAGGCAGACAAAATTTGGCCAATAAGTCACTCATAAGATACCAGACGCCCTTCCTCTCTGGGCCAAATATGTGACTGCCACTTCCCTACCAATTATTGACGGTTTTGTTCTTGTGCTAGTCTCTCTTCCCTATAGATAAGATTTATTTTTTAAAGAAAAATTTATTCAGATAACCAATCATTTTATGACTACCTTTAAAGCAAGTCCTCTCTAGATAGAGGCTTTGATCCCCATCTACAAAATGTTTTTTTTCCTTCCTTTTTTATAAATATATATATTTTTTATTGATTTTGTACAGAGAGGAAGGGAGAGAGATAGAGAGTTAGAAACATCGATGAGAGAGAGTCATTGATCAGCTGCCTCTTGCACACCCCCTACTGGGGATGTGCCCGCAACCAAGATACATGCCCCTGACCGGAATCGAACCCAGGACCTTTCAGTCCCCAAGTCGACGCTCTATCCATTGAGCCAAACCGGTTTCGGCTCTTCCTTTTTTAATTAAAACATCATGAAGCGGAGAAGAACCAGCACAAAACATGTATTCGCTCTCTGAGGCCAAAGTATAATTGGACCTGCGTTAACACATGAAATGACACACCACGCAAAGCTACCGCCTACGTAAAGGCATTCTGTCTAGTATTGTCTTTTCTCTTTCAATGGGAAAACAGGTTTATACTCAATGTAAAGATTAAACTCAACAAATTCAAGTTGGCACTCACACAGCGTCCCCACTTTGCAAGTCAATATGCCTATCAGGCTGACAGATCCAAGCATAGCCTCAGAGAGCGGTGACGTGTCAGAGAGTAGGGGGTAAGGATGACTATAGAAAAGAACATTCCAGACTGAAATTTCAATTCCTCAAAGACTGGAATCCTGAAAAACGGTTCGCACAGAAACATGGGAGGTACTCGGGTCCAAGGACCTCCAACATTGAGGAGGCCTCAGCTTGTTCACACGGAGAGCAAATGAGCTCCAACAGAAATGCTCAGTGCAACTTAATATCATTTTTAAGTTCTGGATACAACTCAGCAAACCTGAGCTCACGGCCTTCAGAATAAAGGATAAAAAAAAAAATCATTTCTTCGAGGTCTTCTGGGCTTTCAAGTTAACAAGCATGATTTCCCATCCTCGGACGGTTGGGGGTGGGTGTAGCCCCTCGGAGGCAGCGGCTGGTGTCCGGCAGGTCCGAAGGCACCGGCCGGACCTCTCAGGCCCGCTCCAGGCGTCCAGCCTCGGCCCGCGGCGCCGCTGCCCACGGCGCCCTCCACCCAACGTGCCCATCCCTCGCCGCCAACGGCCTCGGCAAGCCCAGCCCTAACCGCCAGGCCTCCGGCGCGGCCCGGGCTCCATCAGGCCGGAGCCTAGGAACAAAGAGGAGGCCGGGGTCAGCCTCCGAGACCCCCGCGAGACTCGCGCGGCCCCCGAAGATACCTACACCCCCTCGGAGGGGGGGGATCGTGACCCGGACCTGCGGGTTTTCCCCCCCGACAAGGGCCATCCCTGCCCGGGGCTGGACGCCGTGAGCGCACCGCGTCCCGGACCCCGCGGGTGCACCGCAGCCTCTCCTGCGCGCACCGTGACAAAGGAGCGGGGATCCGGGTGGGAATCGGCGGGTCCTCGGAGCCCCGGGAGCCCCGGGAGCCCCGGCTCCGCGCGCGTCCCCCCGCCCGCGCCGGCCTTTACCTGCACGTCACTCAGCTCCACGCGCAGGTACAGCTCGCGGTGCCGCTGAGCCCAGTAGACGTGCGGCGTCAGCACCTGGTTCTCCATGGCCGCCAGCCCGGGCGCGGGGGATCCGCTCGTCGAGCCTCGCTGCCTCGGGCGGGCCGTGCGCGGCGGGAGCGGCGATCGCAGGCCCTAAGCCCCGCGCTCCGAGAGCCGCAGCCGCAGCTCCGCGCCCACGCTCCCCGCCGCGCCTGCGCAATGAGGAGCCGGAGGCCGCGGCTCCGCGCTCTGCACCCGCGGGCGGGGGCGGGGCGGGGGTGGGAGGGGGCGGGGCGGAGGCGGGAGGGGGCGGGGCGGAGGCGGGAGGGGGCGGGCGGAGGCGGGAGGGGGCGGGCCCAGAAGCGCGGGACGCCCGCCTGCCACCGCCTCGGGAGCTGCGCCCAGCAGGTGCACCGGGCTTTTCTCTGTTCTTTAAGGCGATGCTTCTAAGGAAGCTTAAGCCCTAGCCGGTTTGCTCAGTGGATAGAGCCTCGGCCTGTAGCCTGAAGGGTTGGATTCCGGTTCAGGGCACATGCTGGGGTTGTCGGCTCGATCCCCAGTATTGGGTATGCAGCAAGGCATGCCATCAACGATTCTCTCTCTCATCATTGATGTTCCTATCTCTCTCTCCCTCTCCCTTTCTCTCTCTAAAATCAATAAAAAAATATTTAAATAAGTAAATAAAATAAAATGCTGGTCAGGACTGATCCCTCCCATTCTATTACTCATTAATTAAACATTAACTGAACGCCCACTTCATTTAAGTGCAGGGGCTGCAAAGCTAAACACTGGAGCCACCGCGGTAAGAAACAGCCCTGACGACCTGGAACTGCCAGTCTTGACAAAGACACAAGCAATTGCAGACACAATAAGAAGGAGGGAAGTGGTGTGGGGTCAGGATGGAAGAGTGTTCTCAGAGGGGAGAGTTAAGTGTAAAGGTTAGAGATTTACAGCGCTGATGGAAATAGCATTTCATTCTAAGCTACCCAATTACGGTAGCCACCTGATGCTTTCGCGTACTTGAAATGTGACTAGTGAGAATAAGAAATGGAACGTTTTATTTTTATATAATTCTAATTAATTCAAACATCCTCATATTAGTACTATCCTATTGGGTAGAGCAGACTTGCCTCTCTTGAAATAGGAAATCCAAACTAGCAAAACCACTAATCTACGTCTAATTTAAGCTATCTCATCTGTACCCACGTTCATCTCTCAGTCTGGCGCGGTGAGAAAGCACCATTACTATGAAAACAAGAAGTCTGGGACAAAAATGGAGCTTCTACTTCAGTTCTATTAGACTCGTTCACTTACCAAAAGTGCTGAGCACAGGGGCATAGAGACGCAAGAGAAATGATGCCAGCTCTCAGGACACATTTAGCTCGGGGGGAGGAATGGATAAAATATAGAGGGTTTAGATGTGGGGATCTTGCCGAGTTCACAAAGCGGCAGGGAGAAGGTGGGGACTGAGGGCTGTAGAGACCACGGCAGCCTTTCCAGAGGGAATCCTGCAGAGCCGGACAATGCGATGTGAGGAGGAGTCTGGTAGAGGAGGAAGTGGAGGTAGGGCAGTGGGGGCACAGAGCAGGAGTCCAAAGGTGAAGGGATGTGGAAGGCCTGGCTGTGGGGGTTAAGGACCTGGAGAAGAGAGGCCGCCCTGGATCTGAAACCCAGGCAGAGAGTGGATTAGGAAAGTCTTTATTTGCTTCATTGAGGTGTTTGTTCTGGATCCCACAGACACGTGGGAGCCAAGGAAGTTTGTTAAGCTTAGCCAAGTCAAATATGTCCATGAGGAGTTGGTAGTAGGCATACCAGTTGAAGATGATATAATCTGCCAGGTATGAGATGATGAATTTTAAAAATAAAAACAAATTAAGTTATAACAGTGCCCTGGCTAGGTGGCTCAGTCGATTGGAGCAAAAGGTTGTAGATTTGATTCCCAGTTAGGGCACATACATTTGTTTAATCCCTGGTCAGGGCACAAACAGAAAGCAACTGAAAGATATTTCTCTCTAACATCGATGTTTCAAGCTCTCTCTCCCTCTCCCTTCCTCTGAAATCAATAAAAATTATATTTTTAAAAAACCAATAAAACATATCCTCAGGTGAGGATTAAAAACAAAACCAATAAAAATATTTTGATTGCATTGCCTTAACTATAATGCAGATCGAATACAGGGTACTTATTTAAAATTATTATTTTTAAAACATATTTTAATATATGTGCTCTGACCAGGAATTGGGAACTACAACCTCCTGGTTCATAGGGGGAGGAGTGCATAGAAGGTGGGAGACACAGAGAGAGAAGCATCAGTGTGAAAGAGAGACACATCAATTGGTTACCTCCCCCACCTAGGTGCCTGCCCTTGAAGGGAATCCAACCCAAGACCCCATCAGGCCACCAGTTGACACTAACCACTGATCAAAGCCAGCTGGGGCTAAAAAGGGATTTTAATCAACTCACACTCCCACACCCATGTTTAAAAGTCTCATTTGCTCTATAGCCCCGGTATTTTCATTCTTTTTTTAGTTTTAGCCATTCTTGTGGATGTGTTATTTTTTTTAAAAATGAAAGAATTTTAATCCAGCATATTGAATCTGAGACTTATCAATGGACCTCTATCCAAGGTGAAAGCTGTTAAGCAAGGAAATTGAATCTTGACATTTTGCCTCAGACGGGCCATAAGAAAGGTCCTATCTAGCCTGGTTCGGCCACCACTAATCTGCAGGGTGACTTCTCTGGGTCCAAGTTTCCCTATCTATTAAAGGAGAGTGCTATTCAGTCCCCTCCAATGTTCTTACCAGCTTTTTCTGGAGTCTCCTGTGAAGAGGCCAAGTATTGTAGACCATTCTCTCCAGTGGAAATGCAGTCAGAAAAAATTTTTTGGAAAAGTAGCATCCAGGTAAACTATAAAATTAAAAGATAGCAGAGGGGATAAAAAAGCAGAACCAAGAGGAACTGCCAACCTGAAGTAGGTAGGGTTTTATGAAAATACTAGTCAAATGAAAATGCAAATTAAGCACTATCTTTGTGCCCTATCTTATAGTCCTATCTAGGGTCCTGCCTTCCCAGCTCCTTTTGGCAGGCTGCCATTTTCTGTAGTCAACAGATGTTAATGTGTGTATTATTTGCTTTCTAGAGGGCCGGTGCATGAAAATTCATGGATTGGAGGGGGCGGGGGGGGGGTCCCTCAGTGTAGCTTGCTCCCTCTTACAGTCCAGGAGCCCTCAGGAGTGAGAGGTGACCCAGTGATCAGGGGAAGGTGATGCCCCCATCACACCTCTGCTGCTGCCACTGCCAGCAGTGCAAGCCTCAGCCGGCCCTGGTTACCTGAGCCTTGGGTGGCCCTGGGTGGCTGGGCAGCTACCATCTGAAGCTTGCCTGCACCTCGGACCAGCCCTGGTTGGCTGGGGGGCTGAAGGGACTGGAGGCTGCCATTTTGTGGCTGTGGGTGCCACCATCTTTGAGGTCATGGCAGTCAATTAGCATATTCCCTCCTTATTAGATAGAATGATTTGTTTCCTCAAATTATAAATCTTCCTAAAATATAGATTGCCTCCTTTTGGTATCCTATAGTATCTAGTACAATGTGTTCCATAAAATAGATGCTTAAAATATATTTATCAATGACAGTGCCCAGTGCTTAAAAAAAAAGTTTAGTGAAATTGGCACACATGGTCAATGTAGGAAAGGGCTAATGAATTTGTGGTATTGTTTTGGAAAGCAATTTTGCAATACATAGCAAGGAAAATGGAGATGCTTATGCTGATTGGCCAACAAACTTTACTTTTGGGATTTTATTCTAAGAAAATAATTTCAAGGAAGGAAGATGTATATATGAAGATATTCATAGTGTTACATGGTGAAACAATGGAAATTACATGAGAATGACCAATTGTAGTATAAACTCTCAGTGGAAAAACTATGTAGCTATGCAACATGGTGAATTAGAAACTAGCAATATTAAAAATGTTTATGATAAAAACATTTTAATTCTGATTACAAATTGTATTTTTGTTTTCTGTAGGGAGTGGCTATAGGGTCAAGCCTCGGACTGATCTGAGGCAGAGCCACATACAAGTCCCAACTTGGAGGACAGAGCCCTCCCAGAACAATTAAGCTTGACCTTATATACTTCCCTTGTTCCTAGGTAGCTAATGGGCTATGGGAGGTGCAGCAAGTGCTGCCAAAAGAAGGCTTGAGTAAGGAAATAGATTTTAAACTCGCAAGAACATTGCAAACATATTGACCACTCGCCTTGCTTTGCTTTGTGTGATCTGACTATAAAATAAAGTTTCAGCTTACAGCCAAAACCTGTCTGGCTCAGTGGATAGAGCATTGGCCTGCGGACTGAAGGGTCCCGGGTTCGATTCCCGTCAAGGGCATGTGCCTTGGTTGCGGGCACATCCCCAGTGGGGGGTGTGCAGGAGGCAGCAAATCAATGTTTCTCTCTCATTGATGTTTCTAACTCTCTGTCCCTCTCTCTTTCTCTCTGTAAAAAAATCAATAATATATATATAAAAAATAAAAGTTTCAGCTTACAGGCTGGGTCACTGTTTCCTCATTCAGGCACAGTGATCCTACCTGGCCCCAACTGTATTCTCTTGTATGTCTTCTTTAATCCTTCACCGCCCCTCCTCAGGTTCATGCCTGGCTATGCTGGGTGCGGTTTAGTTTTCCTCATTTATAACCTTTGATCCTTCCCAATTTAGGGAGCTAGCATGGGGCAACCATTGTCTTCTAGGAGTTGTAATGATAGGACCAGAGAACAGACAACCAAATTTGTCTTTTTTAAGCCCAGCTGCACATGCAAGATAGAAAATAGCTGGGATAATATATTGACTAAATAAAAGTTTTCCAAGTAGAGGAGGGAGGAGAAAGTCAAAGGGAAGTAAGGATGTACCCTTAAGAAGAAGCTTGAGTCTTGCCCTCACCTTTTCTTTAGGGCTTCCCCAAAGCAGAAGGGAAGAGTAGATCCCCACCCCTCTAGACAAATTTAGGGATCTAGGGAAAGAAAAGACCATGCCTATGCCCAAGCATTAGTGCGCAGTGCGAGAGAAGCAGT